GGGCTGGCACAGCAAGCTACCTGGAATTACTCTGCATGCCCCACAGGACAGGAGTCTTCAAAATAGCCCATTTTTAGGGAGCAGATGTCACAAGGGAACTTTTCACCATGTATTAATGAAACACACTACCCTAGCAAGAGCTACAAACCAGAGTTTGGCAGTGTCCTGTACAGGGATGGAACAAGCTGCTGTCATCTGAGGGGACAGAGGTCTGCCAGGCAATCACTGTACAGGTGGAGAGGATCTCCTGCCTAGAGAGGAAGGAGATCTTGCCTTGGAAGAGAACACATACTAACAAACTCCCAAGCAGTAATTTAGGATTGCTCAAACTCCAGAGAAGCTCCCAAGCCACTATGCCTGACATCCAGTGCCTCCAGGGAAGGGCACAAGCAGTTACAGAGAAGTGGCCCAGGTGCAGGAGCTGTTTTGCCCCCAGTTCACCTATTCATGCCATAATGCTGCAAAACCAACTCTGACAGACACACCAAGGGGCTGGGATGATGGTCCTTCTGAGGCTGTGTTAATGTTCCACCAAAACAGGTCTGAATAACAAGTGGCTCTGTTCAGAGCCATGACTGATTTCAGATCCATAACAGCTCTGAGAATAAACATCAGATTAAAAAGTTTCTTACCCACAGCTGTATTTAAGTTTGCTCTGGGTAACATCTCTTGCAGAACTAAAAGGGGAGAGCTTGAACCTGCTGCTGGCAACCTCCCTCCTGACTGTATTTCAAAAGCAAGATGCCCATGCACAGGTGGCAAAGTTACGTGTCTATACCTTTTAAGCACAAGACATCAAAGGCAAATCTCACACCAAACTTACCCAAAGACACATTTGCTAAAGGGATGCTCATCACAAAAGCATATTTTAAAAGAGATCTGAACTCTTCACCTATTATTAACAGATTTTCTGTTACATAGTATCACACCTACACACTGAAGGCTTAAATCTACTTTTATACATTTTCATATAGCTGTAGAAGAAAAGTCTACTAGCAGTTCCATCATTGTTTAGAGCCTGTAAGTTTAAGAGAAAAGAAATCTAAACCAAACTACTGCTGATTTTAGAAAATTGCCAAACTGAAATGCTGCTGTGAACAGCTTACTTAATATAGAAAAATACATATAAATAGCAGTTTGGGGATGAAAAAAAGATGGAAGTGTCCTCTATCAGGGAATATTAAATGATACTGCCACCCCAGCTTCACACACAATTGCTGCTTAGATACTTCATACAAAGATCCCCATTGTTTAAGCAAGAGCATGGGTGCCTTACTAATCTCTGATTATATTCAATCTCTACCAGAATAGTGGGTTGCAACCTGTTAGCCTGCTAATAGACAATTAGCAATGTCAATATAATTTTAAATAAGGTTATTGAACACTAAACTGATAATAACTTAGGAATACCAATGGAGCATTTATTCTGAAGTTGAGGGGAAAAAACCATTCTGCACTGCAAAGAGATTGAATATGCAGGGCTGAGTAAATAGACAAACAAAATTAAAAGTGTCATTAAACACATTATCTACATTAATTTATCTATATCAATATTAGGTACAGTAGCTGGTATCAAAATACCTACGTTTGCCCTGTTCCCCATGTAGGTGGCTTGTGCAGGTTGTTTTCCCTTATTGCTTGCATCATTGTGCAAATATCAAAGAGAAAGTGAAGCTGGCAAGAACACAGAGGTCTTGGAAAGGCAGCCTTTCCCAGGCAGCTTCTACAGGTGAGCAAAAGAGTTAGAGTGGGGAACAAGGAAAGGACTCAAAGGAATAATGACAACTGTGAAACAATTTGCTCCCAGTCAGCTGAAGCAAGGAAGTTCTCTTGCTCACTTTCTGTGACCCAGGAACAGAGGGGAGGGAGATGGGAAATTCACCTGGGAGTCATCCAAATGCATTCATCCATTGCATCAAATTCCAAATGCAATGCATGAACATAAAAGTCTAGAAATTAACTGAGAGGATTTCAGTTTGCACAGCATCTACTGACTAATACCTAAGCATGTGCCAGCACAATGGCCATTCCTGAGTGTTTTGCCTTTGTAGTTGAGTGCACTGCAGGATGTTAAATAATTAAGATAATATTCTTGTATCCCAGATGCCAACAAATGACAGCATGAGATTCACTGTTCAGCTTTCTGGATGCTGTTCATGCATTATACAACACATAATTTTCAAACTGGTTAAACAAACCACAAATGTGATCGTGTCACCAAGTAAACCGAGCTGAAGGACAACCAGTGTGTCCAGAGCAGCAACTACTTACCCAACCTGGGCATAACTGCCCCCAGGAACTGTTCATCTTCCTGAAAATGGTTTTCTTGCAGAGATTCAAGCAGTTTCTGTAAGACATCCTGTGGCACTTTGCAGCCTGTGCCCTTCAGTTCAGTGAATCGGGTCAGACGGAAGCTCTTGTCCAGTTCGTAACTTTCTGGGTTAAAGGACTCCCGAACAGACATGGTTCTCTCCCACAGACTGCCGGCCTCTCCCACCCCACAGCAACGGGATCAGTTTCTCTGCTGATCAGTCTTGTTGAAAAATAAAAATAACAATTAAAAAAAAGGAACATTGGAAAGTCCTGTGACCTGCAAGAAAACGTGTTTTCCACATGGTGCAAGTGCTCGTTATGCCTGCTCACCTAAGACAGGTGTGCACATCTCACATAACTCATTTCCCTACGACTACAAAGGGATGACTTCTCATCCTACCTTCTGACATTTAAAACTATAACTGCGCCAGGTGAATCAGAGAATTAAGTTCTTTTCTAGATATGCTGTGTAAGGTTTTCATTTAAAAAGAATCTAACACACTTACCGTCCTCATTTAACACAGAGGTAATGAAAGAAATAATAGTTCCCAGAGCACAGAGGCCAACTTCCAAAAGGCAGCCTGGGCCCTGATCCTGCAGCATGCTCAGCAGAGACATCTGTTTGCACTCAGCTCAGTGTGGGATCATAATTTTAGCCATTAACATATTAATCTCAAAAATAGGATGCTTTTCAAATAATGGTTCTGCTTCAATCCTGAAATAAGAAGCTGAAGTTTCATAATACACCTGTTCTCCTTGGGAGAAAACACAGTCCTGGTGTTCTGTTGGTACAGGTAGCAGAAGAACAAAGAGGCTGTATTTAAGCAGAGTGGCTCACCTACAAGCATGCCAGTTTACCTTTTAGCATGTTCACAGACAAAAAAATACTGAAAAGTTTCTTGCCTCTTTAGCCCTTTTTTAGTCAACTAATGATATGGAAAAATCAGAAATTGTCCATTAAAATAGTAATGTAAAAAGACACTGATGCAATTCATTTAATAAAATTCTTAACAATGCATGCCTAATTTTAGAACGTTTTTCCACTCTGACTCACATCCACCACACTCCAAAACTAATAAGAGGCCTAACTGAGACACTGACTTCTAAACAGGAACGGCTGTGATAAAACACAATTCATCTTTCTCAGAGAACAAGTTTTCAGGAATTACCCAAAGCAATCTGTCTAGTAGTAGTTTCTTAGAAAGCAAAGATCCTATGTAATAGCAACAAGAACAGAGTTCAGAGGCATCACTGACAAAACCTGATACTGATGGTCATGCCCTAATGAGGTTAAGCTGAAAAGAAGAATTCAAGGGACTCGTATTTGCCAAGTTCAACTTTGTTAAACGAAGGAAAGAAGTAAATCTACAGACTGTGCTGTATCTGCCCTCCATGGCACTTATTAACAAGCACATCTGTTCCATAAACCTTTGAGTCAATTTATTGTCTGTAATTTGTAAGAACTGAAGTTTTAAGTTCCCTGAGAACTTTTGATGTGGAGCCCAACTCCCCTTCACTGTGCTTTCCCTCCTTCTCTGGGAGGTGTGGCACTTATTTAAAACAAATCTTCCAAAGCCTAGGCTCGGGCAGAAATCCAAACTCTAGTTACAAGAACGTGTCTTGGATGAGCAATGAATTCAGTTCCTAGCCGTTGTCTTCCAATGCAAGACACTAAGCACTTGCAAAAAAAAAAAGTGTCTGGAAAACAACCTGTCAACAGAAATAGGAGACAAAAGCTTTTCAAGGGGGGGGGATTTTTTTTTTTCTTCATTCTTTTTTAACGCTTCATTCTAATTAATTCCAGAAAACTATAAAAAGCAGCTTGCCACACAAGAGAAACATCTTCCTTCATCCAACCAATAAGTGCAATAAGCTTAGCACCCCCTGCTTACTTCCACAGGGATGGATGCAGAGGCCACAGCCTACCAGGAAATTTTTGAACCCTTGAGGACTGTAAGGACACAGATCCCCTGTTTGGCAACAACTCGTGAAACAAACAACATGATTTCATTTAATGGAAAACATCCCCAGTGCAACAATACGGTAACTTTTCAAATAAATATCTGATTAAAGCTGCGTGCAACTGTGTAATTTGCAGACTCCCATGGGAGCAACATTCCAAGTTTTGGTGACTTCGGTGGTCACAGCACCGAGCCTAGCAGAGTTCACCAAGAGTATGGACAACTCTCCAAGGTGTGATTCTTGGGGCTGTCTTGTGCAGAGCCAGCAGCTGGACTGATGGCACTTGAGAGTCCCTTGCAACTCAGAACATTCTGCGATTCTGGCAGTCCCTGCAGCACTGCGATGTGAGTGACAAGCATCCCTCCCCAGCAGCAGACAACACCTCCTAACCCAGACGTTCCTTACTTTAAAAGAGCGGCATAATAAATATTAAAAACTAAAGTTTAACCCTTGCCTTCCTAAAGAGCAGAGAGAGGGGAGCACAGGAGCCAAAAGGGGGGGAGGGAGGGAGAACGGGAGCCAGCTACATACCCCAAACAAACCCCAGCGCACCCACCGCCAGCCCGAGCGCCCGAGACACACGAGGCGAGGCGCTGCAGCCACCATCGATCCGGGGAATGCGGCGGGGAGCGCTGCGGGCAGACATGGCTCCGGGACACCTTAAATTTCCAGCCGCTGCCTTTAGAGGCAAACCCGGGGCCTTCGCTGCCGCTCTTTGTGCGGCCGGAGAGGCGGCGGGGGAAGAGGACGAGCAGGAAGAAGCTGCGCGCGGAGCGGCGGTGCCAGCGGCGCCTTCCCGGGGGGCGGCGGGGACGGAGCCCGCGGGTGTCCGGCCGCGGTGTCCCCCGTGTCCCCACGTGCAGGTACGGTGTCACCGGGGCGGGGTTCACCCCTCGCCGGCGGGGACGGCCGGTGGGATGTTGGGAGCAGCCACCCCCCCACGCCGACACTCCGTGACGGGGAGGGAGAGAAGCACGGGGGTGGGGGGGCAGGAATGGGGGGGGGGAGAAAAGGAGGGAAACGGGGGAAAAAAAAAATCCTCCTCCTCCTCCCTCCTCAGGTCTCCCTCTCACCGGCTCTCGCCGCCTCCTCGCCCTCCGCCTCCTCCCGCGAACGGGACTCCCAGCGCGGTCCCACAATGCACCGGGCGCGACGGGCTCCCTCAGCGCCGCCTGAATAGAAAATGCCGCCGCCGCCGCCGGGCACGGGGGGGTTAAACCCCCCCCCCCCTGCTTTTCCCTCCCTTTCCCTCCCGCCTTCCCGCCCCCTCCCGCTCCCCCTCACGCCGCATCCCACGCGCGTTCCCGCGCGGGGGCGCGCGCCGTTGCAGCGCGACATGTCGCGACAGCGCCTCCCCTCCCCGCCCCTCAGCTGGGCTCGTGTGGGCAGCCCGGGCGTGTGTGAGGAGGGGTCTGGTCCCTTCGTGCAATCCCGGAATATCGAGGCTGGGAGAGACCTTTAAGATGGAGCGGTCCGAGCCAGCGCTGCCGCTGTAACCCCTTAGGTGCTAAAGCTCATTACCCAGCGCCCGGCCCGGGCAACTCCCGAACTTCGGGGACCGTGACTCCGCCACCTGCCTGGGCAACCGAACGGGGAAAATACTTCTTTAGTATCTCATCTGGATCTCCCCTGTCTCTGTTTAAGGCCATTTCACCTAATTGATTAGAAATTCTAATCAATTTCTAATCCCAGAATTGATTAGAAATCGTTTGGAAAAGACCTCTGAGATCGAGTCCAGCCTGTGACCAAACCCCGCCTTGTCAACCAGCCCGTGGCACTGGGTGCTGCTTCCAGGCTGTCCTTAAACACCTCCAGGAGTGGTGACTCCACCGCCTCCTTGGGAACCTGCCCTCACGGCTAATCATCCTTGCTGTGGAGAAATTCTTCCCCTGAGAAGCATGAGTCTGCCTGTCAAATTCCTTGCTCGGACACCTTCTCCTTCAATATGAAAACTTTGAGATCGGGAACAATTTGGGTGAGAAATTTAACCAGAGCTGAGGAGACCTGGCACCTGCAGAGCCAGGCCCTCCACCGATGCTGAATTTTGCCCAGAAACTGGACAAAAAGTCACATTTGATCCATGCCACACCAAAATGTTGGGCAAGAAGGAAAGTGAGGGGGTCAAATGGACCTGACAATGGGCAAAATTTGGTCAGCATCAAGTTTTTCTGAGTGCAGAGCCAAGACTGTGGCCCCAGGGAGATAGAGGTGTCATTTCCTCAGGTGCCATCTCCAAGGGGTTTGTTTGATCAGTGTGTGCCCCGTGGAAGGCTGCAGGTACCACAGCAGGAGCACTGCAATGTGGCTGGTTGTGTCAGCTGGTGACTTTTTTTACCCAGAATGTGTTTTTGAGCATGCTTCAGGAAAAATGTTATCCTGTTTTGCAGCAGGTGGTGATGGGTTCAGCACAACTCCAGGAAGCTGTGCTGTGTTTTAGTAGCCAACAGCCAGGATTGTCACAGACTGCTTGCTCAAGTCAACCCTTTTCCATCACTGATTTGCAAAGCATCCCATTTTTTCTTATGCATTTAATATACAGATCACTGGAATACAACATGTCTTTACCATGTCTGATTTCCAGTGTCTTCTCAGTTCGTTTTTCTCCCTGAAAGTGGTTTTTGTGCTTCCAAAGACCCTTTTCCCAAATGATTAAAGTCAGGATTCAGATGAGTCTCTTGCTTTATGTGCAAGACAAGTTTTCTCTAGAAAGGAGGGGATTTCTGTGTTAGGGATAGCACAGGGCCCAGATTACATTTCCAAATAGATAAAACAGGCACTTTGCTTCATGTCATTTGCAGTTAAGTACCTAATTAAGTAATTGCCTGTTAATTCAAAGATTGCTTTTCCTGCAACTGGCTTTGAAAAAGTCTTGTCTAAAAACAAGCAGAAAGAGAAAAAAAATAAACTGTTGCTTTCCCTGCTTGATTTTAATTACTCCTTTTATCTGCCAGAGATGTAGTGCCCCAGGACTCTGGTGCAGGGGACCAGAGGTGCATGGGAGCTCCCGGCACTGAGCACATTTAGGAAGTCACTAATATTTGTATAATTAATTGATTTTCAGGCTCCTCTGTGTTGCTCTCTGAAAGCATTTCAAGCTCGACACACAGAAGCTGTTTCTCAGTGAGCAGCTGTGGGGCATTTGGCTGATGGTTTTGACAGCAGAGATGAATTGAGGACGTGGCATCTGCAGTCCTGACCTGGAATTTGAACCCTTCAGTGCCTCTCCCTCCTCCCAGATGGAGAGGAGGCGGAAGATCTCGGAATCTTCTGATTGCCATCGATCTGATTTTGCTGAGCACTGGCCTCGTATCACGTCTGTGTGTTCCTTGAGAGATGATTTCAATCTGAAAAAAAAACCCTGTAAGTATCTTGAGAGCTGGAAATCAGATGCTCTGATCTAACATTTCTCCAGCATTTAGCCATTACCTCTGCCACGAGCACCTCATTTAAAAAAAAAAAAAAAACCAAACATGAAGCATAAGGAAAACTGTGAGATAACATTGCTGATTTTGAGCCCTGACTTACATGATTTCCTTTCTGATATTTTTGGAGGGAAGAGGGAATTGGATCATATTTTTGTCTTTTTTCCCCCCCCCCCACATCTGTAAGGACTAGACATTTCTTTAACAGAGGGGAAAATAAAATAAATTGAGATCTCCAGGTGGTAGGAAAACTGAGATAACATTGCTGATTTTGAGCCCTGACTTACATGATTTCCTTTCTGATATTTTTGGAGGGAAGAGGGAATTGGATCATATTTTTGTCTTTTTTCCCCCCCCCCCACATCTGTAAGGACTAGACATTTCTTTAACAGAGGGGAAAATAAAATAAATTGAGATCTCCAGGTGGTAACATGGCTGAAAGAAAACATGAATACTTGGAAATTCATGCTCATTAGTACTGGCACAGATGTGACTCTGTAGAGCTGAAGCTAACCCGAACCAGGATATAGAGATGAGAACTGCACATAATTGAAGCCCTGATTAATTAAAAGCAATTTCTTGGCACAGACAATGATGGAGCACCCTTGAGTGGATCTGCACATGTCCCTGTGGACGTGTGCCCCAGGCCCTGCTGCCTGTGCTGGGGTGAGGCTTTGTGGGGGTGGGCAAGGGGTAGAAAAGTGGCTTTGCCAAGGAAGCCAAGCCAAGAGGAGCAGTGAGCTCCCTCTCCACTGCAGCCTCAGGTGTGCTGCTGCACCCAGTGCTTCTCCAAGGGCCCCATGCTTGGAGCAGCTGCTGGAGGAAGTGTGGGATCAGGAAGGGAATCCTGTGCACACAGGTGAATGTCCTTTTCATGTAGGGTCATAAACAAACCCCTGATAGAGTAGGGGATGGATCCAGCAGCCCTGGGGAGGCCCCACACTGCTGGAACCAACAGCTTCATGGAACATTTTCCTGGAGTCCAATAGTGGTTTTCTAGACTTAAAAACCGATCACATTTCCTTTCCTCCCTCCCTCCCAAAAGCTTTTTTGTCATCTGTGTCCAAAACCTCCAGCAGAAACTCCGTGATTGGAGCAATTTGGTCCAATGCCATGAGAAGGGACTGCTCCGCACACTTTAGGAAGAGTAAAAAGGAGAAAGAAAAGAAGGTAGAGCCCTCTGTGCTGTGCCTGATCACTGATCAAAGCCAGCTGCCTCCTGTGCTGGCTTGAGGACGTGACAGATGTCTGTAGCCTTTACAGGTGCAGGGCCTGCATTTCATCAGTCTTTTTTCCACGGATGACCTGGGGTGTGGATTATTAGCAGCTCAGATTTCTTTGGCCAAGGTGCTTTGTTGTGTACACATCCGGGTTAAATCTAAGCAATATTTCTGATCCATGTAGGCTTCTGACTCAGTCCTGCATCTTTGGTGTTTACAAAATGATCAGAGTTTGAACTCTCCCTGTTGTTTCTTAAATGTCAGCAGAATTTTTTTTTATTAATAAAACAATGCAGCCTTCCCCTGCAGTGTTTGTGACCAAGAAACTGTGGCATCACAAGAGCATGAGGAAATACTGGCTGATTAAAACCAGGGTAAGAAATGACAGCGACAGTGTTTGTCTTCTTTTTTTTTTTCCCCTCATTTCAGAATTCACAATGAAGTGGCTGGTAAAATGGGACCAGCTGGTTCAGCCCCACTTGGGCTGAATACGATGTTTAATGTGCTGAAACTACTTCCACTGGCAAACTTTAGTGTGATAATTTAATTTCTCATGTAAAGCACATCTCACAGCATGGCTTTTTCCCTACCTCCCTCTGTTTTGACAAAGTAAAGTTTGGGCAATTGTTCATTTTCTTTGCCTTGTTTTTTGTCTTTTTCCTGCCTCTCATTAATATACAAGTGGTATTAAATAGTAATGATGCCAGTATTGACCTCTGCTGTGCCTTGCTGTTGGCTCATTTTTGTTTCAAGGAGCAGATGTTCTCTGTCTTTGTTTTCTGTTGCCATTTGGGGACTTTGCCCCTTTAACCTTTGATAAGGTGCTTTAATAATCTCTGATGTGAGATTTTATCAAAAGCCAAAGTAAATCATACCTGCCTGGCAGCTTCTTTTAAACATTCCCATCGTGGTTTACAGCAGCTCAAGAAAGTGCAGTTTCCTCTGTGTTTTTGCAGGCTGTATTTATCCCCTGCACCCAGCTGAGCATCCTCCATGGAGGGAGCACTCACGGCAGGGATCCTGGGGTTCTGCTCCTGGATGATGCTCCAGCACCAGTCCCTTGCCAGCCTCCAGCAGTCAAACAGGGTGATGTTGTCTGTCAGGGATCTGTGGAGTCTGGCTAGACTCGCCTGGACCCCCTTTTCCATCAGTTGCTGAGGTGGGATGGGGAGGGTGGTGTGTACACAGCTTCTGCTGGGGTCTTGGTGCTTGTTCCCTTGCTGTGTGCCCAGAGAGGGGCTCCTGGCTGCTTTGGCACCAGCATTTAAACACCACTGTGCTATAAAGCTGCTCCAACCCTTCCTATGAAGAGGCACCCTCACAACATCTGTCTCTTCCTCATCCCTTTTGCAGCATTTCATACTTTGTTCCTGCACTTGGCCACCCCAAAAGCCACCAGGGAAAGTCCACTTCCCAGTTTCTATTTGTTTTTTTTTTTTTTGCCCAGAACCCTACATGGCTTGTACAAGCAGCCACCATCCCTGGGGTGGGTAGGCTGAGTTGTACCTCAGGTGGAAGCATGCCTGGCTCTGGGAAGCCTTGTGGGCAGTTTGGGAAGGTGGCGTTTTGTGTCTGAGATGTGCCTGTGTGCTCTCCCATGGCCTCTTGCAGCATTCTGCTTCTGCTGAACCCCTCTTGGATTTACACACATCTCTGCAAAACTGCATTGGATTTGTTATTCCCGCCCTGCCTTTGCTCTCTTGGCCTGTCATCCTCACGGTGTCACATGAGGGGGAAACATTTCATCGAGCCCCTTTGTTCTGCTGGTCTGGGGCAGCAGGCACAGCACAGCTGCTCTTTGTTACTGGCCACCACACAGAAAATAAAACAATCACAGGGGCCTTGGTGAGGCAGCAGCCTCTGCCACATTCTCCTCAGTGCCAGTGCCCAGCCTGTGTGGGAACCACCTCCTTCCCCCTCCAGACCTGGAAGTTCACCTGTGCTGGCAACACCTGCACTGGGGACAAGCCTTGTGCCTTATGTTCCTTGTGTCCTTCTCCCTTTGCAGGGCTTCGTGTCCCTCAGCCACATCCCACCACAGCCTGGGCATCCCCAAACATTTCCCCTTCCTTTGGCAGGGTTGTGCCCTGGGCAGAGCTGCTCCTGCAGTGTGGATGGCAGGGGCACAACCCCATCACCACCACCATGGCCTTTGGTCCCAAGCACAGCCAGTGCTTTTCTGTGCCGGGGTTTTCCCAAGGCTGGAGCCTGTAAATAATCCAGGAGTGTCTCCTCCTGCCCAGCTCTGCACTCTGCTCCCTCTCTTTGTTTCAGAGTGAGCTGTGTGGTTCTGCCAGCCAGAGCTGCAGCCACCTGACACAGGCTCCCTTGGGATGAGCCTCCAACACTGACTTCCCAAATTAGTCTGGAGCGATGGGTGCAGCCGAGCTGAGCCAGCAATCCTATTCCAGCTGCTGGCACGTGCCAAAACATCTGCCTGCCTGTGCTGTGCTTGTTGATGGAGCTGTGAGCAGCTCCCAGCATGTCATTTGAGAATATAAATTGAGTTCCTCCGAGCTGGAACCACCTGCTTCAGATAATTTCTCTGGCAAGGAGTCTTCTTTTTCATCATCCAGGATTTTCCTGCTTTCCTCTGCTGCCAGCTCTGTGCAGTAGCTGGGGGGGTTGGTACTGATGGGTGGGGATTTAGGTGAATCCAGAGGGGAAATGTCCTGCTGCCAAAGCACAGCAGAGGACAAATGTGCTGTTTAAACTACAGAATTTTAGAATCCCTGACTGGTTTGAGTTGAAAGGGACCTTTAAACTTAATCGAGTCCAAACCCCTGCCATGGGCAGGGACAGCTTTTGGTATATTGAGTTGCTCAAGGCTAACCTGGCCTTGAACACTTCCAGGGATGGGGCACCCTCAGCTTTTTGAGATGCCAGGCACTTGATCCCACTAAGGCTGGTGGGATGCACAAGCAGGGAAACAAACAGCTCCCTGGGAAAACAGGTGGCTTTTGCAAGGAGCAAAATGACCTCAGCAAACCTGGAAACCAGGGGTGTGGGTGTGAAGGATGCTGCTGCTCCCAGCTTCCCTTTTCTATCCCTAGGGTGACATGCAGCCAGCCCTCCAGGTCTGTCCCTGTCCCTTCTTCTTCTGCCCCAGCAGTATCCATTAGCTGAGTATGTAATTAGGATCCCCTAAACACACCTGAACTCTTGTCTGTTGAAACAAAGCTGAATCCCACCCAGAATTGTGCCAACTAGGCACTTAAAACTTGAGCAAATGGGGAAAAGTGGTTTATATGGGAAACAGGTGTAACATCAGCAAAGTCCTCTCAGAGCTGCAGGTGAGCTGCCCTGCAAGGGACCAGGTGTGCCCAACACCACCTCTCATCTCCTTGGGGATAACCACTGTGCAATGGTGTGTTTTCCCCACTGGAAAAGCAAAAATAAACCAAACCCAAGCCCCTGAGCAGGGCTGGGTGGTTTGATCTCCTTGAGGGGTTGGATGTGAGTGTGTTGCCATAACAGTCTCACAGCAGAGGAGGCTCTGAAACATCTCTCCTGCTTCCAGTCCAAGCTAGCAGGAGGAATGAGGATTGCTGAGCCCACAGGCAGTGGCTCCCCCAAGAAAAAACTCCTGGAAAGCCCCTGATTTACATACACCGAGACATGCAAAGGCTGTTTAAATGGAGTAATGGATCCCTGGAGCTGCTAGGAGGTGAGACCCCTCTGGTGGGACTGGCTGGGATGTGGGGGTGGATGGAGGAGGGTGTCAGGGTTCCTCATATCTCTGTACCCCCAAATGCAGCCCTGCACTCAGCAGATGCACCTGGCAGTAGTGGGAAGTGCTGTAATGTGGTGTTCCACATTCTCCTAAAGGGCTTTCCCCCAGCATTTAAAAGTAAAACCCACAAAATCCCACAGGGAGGGAAACGATCACACATTAATTCTTCCCATTTCTCCATTTCTTTCCCATTCCCTGCATCCCACTGCTCCTCCTCCCCTCCCTGCAGCCAGATTTGAGTGTGTTTTCCCAGGATTTGTGCCCAGCATTGGCATTAAGTAAACTCTCCCCAGCAGCATCTGCCTTTGCAGGACCTCACCCTTGGACAGCGGGATAAAGCTGTGGAAAGGGACAAATGCTTGGAGCGACCTGGGGGTCCCTGGGGAGAGACATCCCTCCAGGTGAGGCATTTCCCTGTGCAAAGCCGGCTGATGGCAGCGCCTGGGGGAGGCAAAGAGCAGCAGACAGCCCCGTGCCGGCTGCTTTGATTTCCACAAAGACAATTAACACCCGCCCGATGCAGCTCCATTCCAGAGAGCAAAGCAGCAGGAAATAGCTGCTCTTCCCAAAGGCAAAGCATTGCCCCAAGCCCCGTCTGCTGCCAGCTTGAGTGATCCCTGTGGAGCCCAAGGAGTCACAGCAGAGCCAAGGCTGAGCTCTGTTTTTAACTCGGTTTTTTATTTAATCCAAGCTGCAGAGCTGCATCTCGCTATGACCAATATCCTTAGCATTATCCATATAGCTAGAGTGTAACTGATGGGTCAGGGAATAATGTGTGCTCCAAAAAATGGAGTTTCTCCACTTTATTTTAGGGCATAAGCTGCTGTGAATGTGGGAGCATGAGGAGTGGAGGCAGGATGGGTGGATTGCAGCAGAGGAACAGGGAGCTGGGGCTGGTCTGCTGCTGCCACTGAAGCTGCCACCAAACATCAGCTCCATGTGCACCTCCTGACACTCAGCAGGTAACACTGGGGCCAAAGAAGTGAACCCTTCCCATTCCTGCCGGTTTGGACAAAATCCATAGGCACTGGAATGTCTCTTGTTCACAGAATCACAGAATGGTTTGGGTTGGAAGGCGCCTTTAGAAGTCATCTGGTTCCAAACCCTCTGCCATGAACAGGAACATCTTCAACTAAATCAGGTTGCTCAGAGCCCCACAAAGCTGACTGTGAATGTTTCCAGGCATGGGGCATGTACCACTTCTCTGGGCAACCTCCTGCAGTGTTTCATCACTTTCATTATAGAAAATATTTCCCTTCTATCAAGTCTGCCATCCCCAAGGTGATTTCTGTGGTGCACAACACAGGTGGTCATGGTGGTCCTGCACTGCTGGTGGTGCCATCTTGCATTGCACTCTCAGCATCCCACCTGGGTGGGACCATTGGCATGACAGAGACAGGCAGGGTTTGATCCAAGGGAATTCCCACTCCCAGGAGGTGCCTGCAGTGCTCATGAGAGTCCAGATATCTCATTGAGTGAGTCACCTGCTCCTAGAAGCAAATACTGTGTGCAGTTTTGGGCACCACAATATGAGAGAGATATTAAACTATTAGAGAGTGTGCTAAGCAAGGCCACGAGGATGGTGAAGGGTCTGGAGGGGGAAGTTGTATGTGTAGGTGCTGAGGTAATTTGGTTTGTTCAGCCTGCAGAAAGTTGAGACTGAGGGGAGGCCTCGTTGTGCTCTTCAACATCCTCATTAGAGGCCGTGGAAGGGCAGGCATTGAACTCTTCTCTGTGGTGACAGTGACAGCACTGGAGGGAATGGCCTGAAATTGTGTAAGGGGAGGTTAGGGTGGATAATACAAAAAGGTTCTTCACCCAGGGGGTGGTTGGGAACTGGAAGAGGCTCCCAGGGCAGTGGTCAGAGCACCAGGCCTGACAAAGTTCAAGAAGTGTTTGGACAATGCTCTCAGACACAGGATGTGACTATTGGGGTGTCCTGTGCAGGGCCAGGAGTTGGGCTTGATAATCCCTGTGGGTCCCTTCCAACTGAGCATATTCTGTGATAATATTTTAGAGGTGATCTTGAACAGGGGACAATATTCCAGTGAGTTATTGACTGAGGAGGCACAGTTTGGGGTAGAAAATTGCTTATAAGTTCAGCCATTTAGGATATCAGCATTAGTTTTGCTTCTAAAACTTCCCAAGTGTGAGCAAGAATCACCTCACCCACCCACACTCACTAAATATTTAGTCATTTTTAACAAGTTAAACAAAGCCCTTTGATTGGATTTATGCTAATGGCTCCTCCGTAGGCATTTCTGATTCATTTACATTTCATTTTAAAATTGCCTGTGTACACTGCTGATTCTCACCAACACGATTAGCAGATAAAAGGAACAAGTAACGGGTCACAGACGCCACAAGATGGCAATAGTTGAAGAGCAATTTGTTTCTGGAGGAAGAGATCTGGGGTTCTGGCTGGGAGGGCAGCGCTGCTGTGCATTAACCTCGCAGAGGGGTCTGTGGCCCACAAGAGCAGAGTGGTTCGTGTGTGGGGTGGGTGGGCTCACCTCCCCCCCTCGCAGGAGGATGGAGAACACGGGAGAGCTGCTCAAGGTCGGCCCAGCAGCGTTCTGCCTCACGGTTTCAAGGACCAAAACTTGCAGCATGAAGCAGGGAGGGTTTGCACGCCCCAGCACGGAGGCTCTGAGCCCTGGCTCTGCGTGCCAAGGTTGGGTTTTGCTGGGTCAGAGCCTCTCAGGGGTGTTGCTGTGCCAGCATCCTGTGTGAATCTGCAGCAGCTGATTTGCCAGGTCAGGAGAAGAGGTCTCAGCCCCACAGCAGCCCTAGATCCAGCATGGAGGTGTTTCAGTGGGTGGGAGTGTCTCTGACTCTGTGATGGGGTAAAGTCTGGGTGAGACAGGCTGCCACCTGATTTCTCTTCAAATGGTGTTGGATCCTGTACAACCTTCAAGCCACAGCAATGGGGTTCAGGCTTCTGTAAGGCTTTTGATATGGTCATTCCCCATCACTTTGGCCTTGAGATGGAGAGGTATGAGTTTGATGGAGAGACTATTAGGTGGATAAGGAGCTGGCTGGATGGTCATGTCCAAAGAGCTCAGTCACATTTCATGCCCACATGGAAACCAGTAAGGAGTGGTGTTCCTTAAAGGCTTGTACCAAAACTAATATTGTCATCAGCAACACAGGCAGTGGTTTCTAGAGCACCCTCAGCAGGTTTGCAGGTGACACCAGGCTGAGTGGTGCTGCTGATGTGCTGGAGGGAGGGGATGTCATCCAGAGGGATTTGCACAGGCTTGAGGAGTGGGTCTGTGTGAACCTCATGAGGTTCAACAAGGCCAAGTGCAAGGTCTGGCATCTGGGTCAGGGCAATCCCCAGGGACACCATCCCACTGGCATTGGTGCTGGGGGCCTGCATGAGGCAGGAATCTCCACTGCTCCAAGGCCTCCCCAAAGGGACTTTAAATGAGGGGTGGGAGATGATGCACCATGCTCTATGAAAGGCAGCAGAGGAGCCATGTGGGAGCCCATTTGTAATGAATGTTAAATGTAAAATCTGTGTTAATGCACTGGTGTTTGGCACTCTGTGCTGCCCAGGAGATGAAGCTGGGAATGTGATGCCCTGATGAGCAGAGGATCTAGGAAGCAGAGGTCTCAGAGCAGTGCTCCATCTCTGGGATGCAGCACATCCATGCCATTCCTTGAGGGCTGGCAGCAGCACCTGGGTGTGCAGGGTGGCCATGGGCTGCTCAGGAGCCTCTGTCTGTGTTTTAGCCCCCAGGGGATGGAGTGAAGGCAGCAGGATCTCCAAGCAGGATGGGACTATGTGGTGTCAGATCACATGTGGTACCCTGGACCAGAGGGACAGAAAGGACAAATCCACGGCGAGTCATCGGCTGTCACTGATGCTGTTCTGTTGTCCAGCCAGACCGTGGTGATTGGGCAGATTTTATGCAGGCAAAGGTTACTTCTAACCCTGAGGCAAACCCCATTCCCTGCAGGGTGTCCAGCCCAGTCTTGGCTCTCCTTACAGCATCAGAGCAGTACATGAAGAGATGCAGAAAGTGGATACCCCATTGGTGCTGCCAGCAGCAGGCCAGGGAGGTGGAGGTCTGTCAGTTTTGAGGATGGAGCCATCAGGAAAGTCAGGAAAACAAAGGGTGGATGATGTCACCATTATCACCAGCCAAAAAGTGAGGCAGGGCCTACCACAGCTGTCAGGAGGCAGGGATGTGGCAGTGGGGAGAGCTGGGCACTGAGGGCCTGTGCAGGAACTCAGGAAAAGGGAAATCAGGAGGGAGCAGAGGTCCAGCTAAGAGCAGAGCAGTTTACACACATCCCCTGTGCCGTGATGAATGGAGACATGAGATACAGTTGGTGAATCCTGAAATCTCTCAGGATTAAATGATTACATTAATCTTTTCTTTCTCTAAGCCGTGGTAATGGCAGTAGCCACATGCTGGTTCCAGTTCAGATCCATCCCTGCTAACTTCCTGGGGACTCCTTGGGGAGCTGGCACAGGGTCACGCTGTCCTGACACACAAATGCCCCCTCATCCTTCTCTAGCTGACACCCCTTTCACCTGGTGATTCCAGGGCAGTGCTGGGCATGGGGCAAAAGTAGAGCAGGGGTCCTGTGGTGTGGCAGCGTTGCTGCCAGTGTGGTTTTTTAAAGTCTCCTTTGCTGAGTGCACATGCAGTCTGTATGCTTTGCTGAACCATCCTGGGGCAGAAAAGATCCTCCAGGCCACCTGAGGGTCAGTGGATGGCAGAACTATGTGGGCTGTGGCTTTTCCATCCACCCCAACCTGTCCAGGCATCACCTGGAAATGACATTTCTCCTGGGTGTGCTGGGGATGGACACGGCCAGGGGACATCTCTGCCCATGGTGATGGTTGCCACTCCAAGGTGGCCCTGTGGCCAGGCTCCAGCAGGAGCCATGGGCCACCATGGTACTCTGACCTGTCTCTTGCTGGGCAGAGGTGGATGAAGCTCCTCACCCCATGCTTGTTGGTAGCTTCAGGGGCAACGGTGGCGTTGTGAACACTTGAACATGAAGTTACTGCCCTTGTTATCAGCTGGGTGTAACAACATATGCATGGAGGGGCTAGAAAAAGCTGATGAAATTATTTAGGTTTTTTTTTTAAACACAGAATTGATGTTTACACACCGAAGCTAAATTATTTATACACATAATGTTACAGGTTTCACATCAGTGGCTTTTATTAGCAGTCAGTGGATGAGAAATCATACCTGACCTACTTGTACAAACTCCTCTCGTGCCTCTCTGTGATGACAGCGTGGCAGGAAGGAGTGAAGGTGCTGAAGGTGCTTACCCCAGCTCAAGCAGTGGGAGAGCCAGTGGGGGGAGAAGAGAGATCTCAGCACCTCCTACAAGGCATTTTGCTGCTTTAGGTTTGGGGGAGAACATGCACAAGGGGGTTATTTTTGAAAAGTCTTGCGAAATGCTAGCAACATCTGTTTCTCTAGGAGGATGTGGACCCATGGGGTTTTTCCTAGGACTATGCCCCCCTCCCTTCCCCAGTGAAGGAGAAATGTGCTTCCCAGTGAGGCCTCAGCAGAGGGCACGATTTTGGGGAGAAGGTTTCTCTGGAGGAGGGGTGGCTGCATCAGGACCACCCATCCCCAAACCACTCTGATGTGACAGAGTGTGTTTCCCCCAAAAGACTCAGCCAGCCGTTTCTAAACCAACATGTCACAGGCACTTGAGATGACTTTCTTCTTCTCTCGCAATTAATGCATTTTTTATAAAGCCCAGGCTTCAGTTTCCTTTCATGTTACCAGGAGGATATCCTTTTTCCTCTTCAGCTTCAGAAGGATTTTTTTTCACCCAAAGTATTAATCTCCAGTGTCCTGTACACAGGACAGAGGGATGCACTGGGCCAGCAAGGTGGCAGGAGCGTGGCTGGACTCAAGTGTGGGTGCTGGCAGTCACTTGCTCCATCCCAAAGCTGTTCCAGCAGCACACAGGAACATTTCTTGCTCATAATTATACCTTAAACTCAATTTAAGGTGCTCCACTTAAGTGTTGCAAGGAACAGTGTATTAACCTGGTCCCTGTTTTTTAAAACACAAGCCAAACAAAGCCACACTTTAACATCCTGGGCTGTATCAGCAGGACCAAGACAGTGATTGTCCCCCCTGAACTTGGCACTGCTAAGGCCACACCTTGAATCCTGGGGACACTTTTGAGTTCCCCACCACAACAAAGACATTGAGGTGCTGGAGCATGTCCAGAGAAGGGAGAACAGAGCTGAGGGGCTCAGCCCCGAGAAAAGGAAACTTAGAGTGGCGTTTCAGTACTTAAAGGGGGCTTGTAGGAAAGACAGAGAGGGACTGTAGGGACAGGACAAGGGGCAGCAGTTTTAAACTAAAAGAGGGTTAGATTTACATTAGCTATTAAGAAAAACAATTTTACAATGAGATTGGTTTACAGTGAGGCTCTGTGACAGACTCCCCCAAGAAGCTGTGGATGCTCCATCCCTGGAGTGTTCAAGACCAGTTTGGAGGGGGTTTGGTCAACCTCATCTTGTACAAGATGCTCCTGCCCATGGCAGGGGTTGGAGCTTTCTAACCCAAACCACTCTTGATCTGTGCCTGAGATGCTCTTTCAGCACCCCCCAGAGGGGAGGGCCTGCACTGGTTCCTGCTGGAGCTTTCAAGGTCCCTTCTACCCTAAACCACTCTGTGATCTGTGCCCGAGATGCTCTTTCAGCACCCCCCAGAGGGGAGGGCCTGCACTGGTTCCTGTCACACCACAGGGATGCAGGATGAGCACCAGGCTTCAGCCGATCTGAGCAGCCTCTGAAATGTGGAGGAAGCTCTCGTTGGGACTTTTTACCAGCAGTGTCTCCATAGCGCTCCTTGTACAAAGCCAAAAAGGTGTGGTGAGCTGCTGCTTCACTTCACTGGCTCCTTGGAATTGACAGACGATTACCAGGAACATGTTTTTGCAGGAAGTATTTTCTAAGGCTAAACATTTGATGAGGGTGTGATAATGAATTACCAAGCATATATCTTTGCAGCTACTCCAACCTGTGAGTATTGGTTTGTCCTTCCTGTGTGTTGTTTCCATAGAAGCAGAGCTTAACCTTTTAAGAGCAGATTATAAAGGCACCTAATTCAATTAAAATTAGACTTCAAGCATATCAGTTTGTAATACTCAAGAGTTATTACACGATTGGATATAGATGTTGTTGTGATTGGCAAGGCCAGTGTGGTTTCTGGCTGAGCCAGCTGGAAAAATAGCATCCTGGTGGGAACTTTCAGGATTTTCCTATGTGTAGTCCACTGGTGGCAAAGTAATTCCTCTAAAATATGGGAATCCAGCATAGAACACAGGAACACACATGCAATTAAAGTTATTTATTGTAGGTTTTCTTTTCTGAACTGACAAAGAGGATTTCCCAGAGATCGGTAACACGACACAATGTTATACACCATTTCACAACTAGTCCCTTGTCGCTTTATTAAGAACATAGTAATTTAAAAATATCTAAATATTTACATATTAATAAAACATATATACAGAAGATTGAGACATTTTTACCTAAATATGGAATGATTTTTTTTCTTCTCTCTAATAAACCCTATAAAAAGATTTCTGAAGAAAGTCTGAACAGTAGTCACAGTAAGTAAACACAAATGCAATCTTCCAAATTTACAAAACGCTGATTTCATTGCTGAAGGGTTACAACACAACGGACTGGTGCCCCCTGCCCAATGCAGGCAACTCCAAGCCATGAAGGAAGGAAAGACTCAAAATTTAAGGTTTGCAGTGCACATTCAATCTATTCCACAGTTTCAGAGAGAACATGGTCATTCCTAAAAGTCCATGGAAGGTGGGCGGGGAACAGCTGGGAGCCTGGTTTCTCAGGTGCCAACAGAACAAACTGTTCATGTTGGCTTCAGTATTATTTGTGGGTATTCTGTGACACCTGAGAAACAGGCATTAGGATTGTTAAAAAAAGAGGTTGAGCGTTTTGAAAACCATCCCACTCTGTAATAGCACTTCTGTTGAGACACTCAAAGGCCAAATAGTTTCCAAAAAATAAAAAAAGTACCTAAGATAAGATACACATGGGAATGGAAACACAATGGCAAAGGCTCTAGCAAGCTCTCCCTCGATTGCAGGACACATGCTCAAACTGCCTGGTGATCAATAGGTGTTGCAGGATAGACCTTCCAGATTTCTTTGTGACATTTTTAAAGTGAATTTAGTGCTGATGAAAGGTGCAGAAATGAAGGTTTGCAGGGAGGGCTGCACACAGTTTTACCTTAGCCCTGACCTGATCATTTCAGTGTCTAAGAGGGTAGTGCAATTTCTTGATCAATTCACTTGTCTTAACTGCTGAGATATCAATATAGTACCAGTTGAAAGGTGACTGGTATTGTTGTCAAGGACAGTGGCTAAAAAATCACAGTGAGGAGACCCTCTTTTTAGAAAACAGAAAATTAATACATTTGAGGTGATTGAGCAAGCTGGGGGCAACAGTGAGGGGAAAATGACCACCTCCAGCAATCTGCACTACAAAGATGCTCAAGAGCCATCCCACTAGGACTACGTAGGAGAAATTGTTTGAGGAATAGCTTCTCCTTGCTATAACTAGGAACTGGGCACTGCTGGGAGAAATCCTGCTTTATTCCCTCCTAAACCCAGAAAGGACTTTTTAATCAGAGCTGTGTGTGACTGGTCATTGGTACCACAGCAGCCAGGAAAGGAAAAGTGGGTCTGCAGAAGCAAAGAGCTTCACCAAGTCAGATGCTCATTGAGCCCCCAGGGTTCATGGTGGAGAAAGATGCCACCCTGGTCCCTGGGGGCAATAAGAGTCACAAGTTCTTTGTGGTTTAAGATGAGACACTGCTGGCAAACATACAAACGTGTGGACAAGTACAATCATGGAGGAGAAACACAGGCAAGAGAATGACCTCAGAGTGGGTACTCCGCTAGTTCAGTAATGCATGGGATGTGGAGGGAAATCATCTTAATTAAGATGAAGAACAATGAAGCAATCTGGTGGTTTCATTACTTGAGGTTACATGGAAAAAACATAGACTTGTAAGAAAAACTGTATGGATGCCCACGTCTTGTAGTACACTGAAGTTCTCGTGCTGAGCTCGCAGGAACATTACTCAAAGGAGAGGATGTTTCTATCGGCTAAGAACACTGATGCAGGATGTGAAATTCAAACTGAAAAATCTGGGTTTGCATCTATCAGATGGTCTGTGGTGTCGAAAAGATTACCTGAAGGGAGAAAGAGGTTGAAGGAATCAGTTAAAAAAATGTAAGAATTTAAGATATCAGTAATTTGAAAAAAAAAACCCCGTATTTTAGAATTATGGAAATAATGTATTTGAGTTTTAATTTTAATTAGTGATGAGGCTGAACTGCTGGTGTGCACACAGGCAGTGCTGCTGAATTCCATTTAGAGTAGAGCTCAATTGGCTAAAGAAAAGCAAATTAAATAGATTTTTCTGAATACAAAATTTGCCAGCCAAGTTTTTCACACAACATACAGTGCAGCCCACTTCAGATGTAAAGCGCTCCATTAGTCTTCAGCACAAACTGCACTGCTATGCTCACACCTTTGAAGTTTAGGTTCTGAAGAAGTGAAAAAAGCACCCCATGAATTTTAAACCTTGAGTACATACTTTTGGGATCTTATTTGGTAAAAACCCCCACCACTCCACAGCAGTCTAAATGCATATAGGAGAAAATATATAAATATATATATACACACACACCTATAAAAGGTGCACTGTGTGATTATATCCCATCTTTTTAAAAGCCCTTTAAGAATGTGCTTTTTCTAAACAGAACAATGAAAAGATGGACAGAAGAATTACAACGAGGGTGCTAAGAACACAGGGCAAAGAGAAGACAGACATCAATCAGCCTGAGAGGCAAATACATCCCAATGAAAAGGGAAGACTCATACAATCATGCATTGAAAGGATAAAGATTTATATTACAATAAAGGATTTATATTTAAGGTTTTGGAAAAGGTTTTTCTTTTTTTTTTCTTCTTTTTTTTCCCCCCAAGTTTCATTTTCTTGATATTGTATTTCAAGAGAAAAGGAGACAACCTATATAGAATTGGATTGTTGCTGTTTTCTTATCATCCGTTTCTTTACCAAGAGATTGCTCTCATCTTTTCACAAAGCTGTATCACCCCTAGACCTGAGGATTGGGATGTTAGTGTTTCAGCTTCCGTTAGGGATATCAAAATCCTTTCTCATCTCGAAATTAACCCCAGTGTGGAGAAACTACACAAACTCCCAGCATGGCTGTGGTCCAAAGCAGGGGTAAAGAGTGCTACCTCATGGTCCTAAACCTGCCTACATCTTTCCAATCCAATTTACAAGGTGAGGATTCAAGAAAAGGGTGTTGCAGCTGGCTTACATTTGTTTTCACATGCAGAATTTACGGGTTGTGCCTTCCTTTTGTTTTTCTTTGAAACCACAAAATCCCAATGCTTTGTGTAAATTGTACACTGAAATAAGATGAGCCTTTTCACAATACCAACTTACACAGAAAGGCTCTAAAAGGTGCCACATCCTCATCCTGATAAAGATCTATCTCACACCCTCCAGGTATCCTGTATCACCAAGAAACTAATCAGCCTTTCCACTGAGCCCACGATAATTACCCCCAGAGCTGTCTGATCTGTCTCAGCTCAGGTCTGGACACAGCCTGCAGCTTTGGTTAGGTGCAAAAGCTGGAACTCTCTGAGACCTGAGCTTTGATAACATTTGTTAGGGACAATTCTTCAAGTATTTTCTTGAGATTTATCTGTCAATGAACCAAAGTTCCCAGCAAGTTTAACTGCCACAGTTCTTCCAATTTACTTTAAACACCCTTCAATCAACAGCCTCTAAAGCCAAGGCCCTCTTACTATAGAGGGTGATTTTAACACAGGAGCATCATTTCTGCTCAGGAGTGCTAAAATATAATTGGGGAAAATGTCTTCCTTAGCTTTATAAGGATGTACTAGCTTCATTATTTTTTACCAGGCTTTTGAGCTCCAAAAGAGGTTTCTGAAAACAAAGCACCCTCTGCTCTCCTCAAATCCCAGGACTTTGCAAGTTTGTGGGCACAGAGGGAGCTGGTTCAGACCTGGCTGTGGGCACTGGCACCAACTAACTGCACTTGGAGCCTGGTCCTGCTGGCACCAAAAGAGAGACACCTCCAGACACAACTGCAGCTGACCTGGCCTTCCCTCTGGAAGCAGCTCTCTTCCCACCAATGATGGAGACAGTTGAGAGCAACCACACCTCTGACTGAGGTGTCCCAGATGAAGTGTCAGCCAGAGGCTATAACCCAAAATCATACAGACTGAGACATTTCAGCACTGATAGTCCACATACACCCAGATCTAGTTCACAATGTCAGTGGTGTCACAGGCAGGACTGACAGAGCTGCAAAGGCAGATTTAAGGCATCTGAGTTTTCCCTTGTTTTTTGGCACCAATGCTTATCACTGATTCTAATAATTCTCCCTGGGTGCTTTTGGTTCACAGTTTGTTCAGTTATGGAAGATGAAGAGAGGAACTGTTCGTGGATAGCTCCCATACTCCCACATCTTTTCTCCTCATCCAGTCTCCTGCAAGATCTCCTCAACCAACCCAGTTCACTCTGGTTTTATTACACCAAAGCACCAGGTTAACCACTGATCACAGAGTTACAGGATCATTTAGGCTGGAAAAGATACTTAAGATCCTGCACTGCTGAGTCTACCAACAACACATATCCTCAAGTGCCACATCTACACATCTTTTCAATACCTTCCAGGACCGTGACTCCACCACTTCCCTGGACAGCCTGTTCTGGTGCTTGACAACACTTTTGGGGAAGAAATTTTTCCAAATACCTGAAGCCATGATTTATCTGATATTAGCTGTCATCTGCAGCCAAGGCCCATCGCATGAGGCTCTGTACAAACACAGTCAGAGAGACTTTTCCCCAAAGATTTTTCAAGCTAAACAGAGAAGACAGCTGAATAAATTGCACGCAGACTCTCTTTAAAGAACCTGTCAAGCACCCTTTTGTAAAACCAGCTGTACTAAAACAGGGAAAGACCCCTGTAAAAATCACATTCCACCTCTTTTGCTACATTCCTTGATACAAAGCAGCTATGTTTTGGCTCTGTCTCATAATTACTGTCATTATAATGTCTGTGTATCGCTTTAAATAATCTGCTTCCAACAACAGTATGAGATTACACAGATCTGTCCTATAAAGAGGCACTGGCACACATATAATAATGGATGTGAGTCAAATTCTTGGCTCACAGCCTATGAGCATCACCTCCCCCCAAGTGCAAACTGCAGCATGGTTTATTTAGGCATCTTTCCACAGGTAGTGTGGAGCAGTACACACCACACACAACCATTTCAGCTCCAAAGCTGCATGCATGGATGCTCAAAGGTGTACAGGAAAGCAGACCACAAGGGTGATCTGCAGTGGAGTGGAAAGGGAGTCGCCTTCTCTACCACAACCATCTCACCGTGTTCATCTCCATCCCTGATGTACAACCCAAGCAGTGACTACAGAAACTGCTCCAAGAAACGTACAGCAAACTGTTAATTCTGCTCCTTGATGTGATTACTGGAGCAATGAAGAGATAACACCACATCGCATTAACAACCTTTATTAGGGTCTTCTCACAGCGGAATTGCTTCCCTCCCTGATAAAAGAAAGCAACAGGATGTTGCTTGGAAGGGACCTTTCAATGCAGAGCTTCCTGCATCTTTCATCACAGCCGTCCCCTGACACGTTATTCAGCGGCTGGCCAGGAAAGCAGGACGGCAGCTCGTGCTCCCAGCCCCCCCTGGGTCCATGCCAGAACCAGACTATAGCTGCTTGTGCTCCCAACTGGAGGCTGCTCCTATTCCTTAGTAACTGCACGTGCTCTGCCAGCGCTCCACGGCTGGCAGCTGCTGCTCCAGCACACAGCAGCGGGGTGTGAAAGCTCCTTCTCCAGCCCTTATGCAAGAGAGATTAGGGAGTTCTGGCACAGGACACAGATGCTGTGATGGTCACCAGTAGTCTCCCGTCCTCCCCACAGCTGTCAGGTAACGTGTGGTGTGCTCAGAAACCCAGTAGCAGCCCTGTCCTGCTCTTCCAGCAATGGCATTGCTGAATCCCAACCACCCTTTGTTAAATGAAGTAACACAAAACCGCACTATAATCAATGACGTTATTCATCTGCCCAAGATCCTCTCTCCTTTGGGGACAAGAAGCAGCATCTCAGTGACAGTACAGACTCTGAAATGCAGGGAAATGACCATCTCCCCAGACTCTGGCCCCACTGGATTTTCAGAGGATGGCAGCTCAGCTCCTATCATCATGGCACCTACTGATGGACCAACTCTTAAGGTGAGGGTGCTTCAAATTTCAGTCTTAGTCTGGTGAGACTGGTGATTTCAGCACCAAATTCAACAGTGTGGAAAAATGTTATTTCCCAGTCTACACAGCTGCACAGCCAAGCTGCTGCATAGCAATTGTCAGGCTTTTAAGGCAGGGTGGCTGCACTTCAAGAATAAGTAAACTAACACTTAACTAGTATGTAAATATGTCTGCAACCCTTCTGTGAGTCCAAGATATTATGGCTAATACCTCCAACAACTCAACAGATGTGACACTACAAGTGATTGTGTCTGTCCCTACCAATAACTCTGTAAAGAGATAAAAAATACTCCCAGAAATATCAGGGATGAGCACGAGTCCATATCTAGCATAAGAAGTGTAACTTACAGGCCTTATTAGCTTAGCTGCTCCCATGGACCTTGAGGTTTTATGAATATGAAATTGAGGGGAAAACTGTAAGATTCTGATGCATTTGTTTTTTAACACAGACCATTCAAAACTTTAGATAGCAGAGTCCTGTGTGCAATTACCCAGATGTACATGGCAAGTCAGGATTATTGAAGAATGCTTCTGTGCCATAAATAAACAAAAATACACATGGAAGACTGATAAAAATTTTAATGCATTTTACCTGTTTGTAGTAGAGAAATGTCCGGCTTCTCATCACAGTCAGTTGCCTCTGCTGATTACAAATATAAACAAGAAATCTCATTACTTTTACTGAATATGGGAATGGGATTAAAAAGCTACAGACTGTGAAGTGATTTTGCATTTTCTATCTACTTTCCTCAGCTGCAAATTCGCAAGTGCTCTGTTAAAAACTCACTGCTTGGAGGAAAAGGTCATATAATAAAAATGCAAACTTGGAAGAGGGAGTTGGGTATTAAGAAGCAATTGTGCCAGTAATGGGATGGAGTAACACTTGTTCTTTTTAAGGTTTCAGGATGTCTGTATGATAACAGGAGTTGTGATCACTTGATAAAGTCCCAAGAAAAGGCCCCAGCGGTCCTTAGAGGAAGAGCTTTGCAGGCTGGAACTCCCCCCACCGACAATCATCCCATGCCTGCAGGGAAAGGAACACTCCCATTCTGCACACAAACTTCCCATGACCACAGGCAAGCTCATTTTGCAGGGGACAGATTTACTAGGGCAGAGTGTCTTCAAAAATGCAGGTGGGTGCCCAGTGTAATTAAAAAAGCACGTGACCACACTGGCAATTAATGTGTATATACACACATGCTTTCAACCCACAGCTTATGCAAGAGCATTTGACTTAATTTGGCCCACGGTGAAGGGAGGCTAAAAGCCTAATTTGTTCATTTTGTGTTTGCCAGAGGCCAAGGGAATGCACAGACATAGCTTGCCTCACTCAGCAGATGTGCAGGGACTTGTTAGGCTGTAGTACCTGGGACATGCATGTGAACCCTGAGTAAATCAAAGGTGTGTAACAGGAAATCCGTGCCTAACCTAAACAAGCCCTATTCAAAATCCTATTACCTTTGTCTTTTGGCACTGCAGCATGATATTTAAGGCCTTTGAAGCACAATGAGATCTTTGAGGGCACTTCAGCAAATGAGGTGTGGTCATACAGGACAAGCCCATTATCACTGAATCACAGAATACTTTGGTTGGAAGGGATCTTAAAGGTCACCCAGTCCAACCCTCCTGAAATTAGCTGGGAGAGAGCTTCAACTAGATCATGCTGCTCAGAGCCCTGACCTTGAATAATTCCAGGGATGGGACATCCAGCATCTCTCTGAGCAGCCTGTGCCAGTATTTCAGCACCCTCATTGTAAAAAATTCTTCCTTACATCTAATCTAAATCAACCATGTTGTAGTTTAAAATGTCCTATGAACTACCTTGTACAAGGTCTGTGTGGTGGATGTGTATCTGCTCACATCCATTCATTGCACAATATCCACAGGGATCAAAACCAAGGCTGCAGATAAATTAAGCAAGTCAGCTCACCTCCCACTCGAGACTAAGCTAACTGTCCTGATCATCTTTATCATGGCTCTGCATACGAGGATGTTCAGTTGTTGCCTTCATGATGATAATGTCTAATCCAGCTCCTAAACTACATGAGTTTTCTAATGTAATCCATCAACCCTTGTCTCCATCCCTGGTCCAAGAGACTGCTGTCTCTTCCACATGCCTGGATGTCAGGTTGGTTTTTAGCTATATACTCTCAGTTCTGCAAAATTAATTGAACCAAAGAAAACATAAATAAACTCTAGTATCAGGCAGCTTTCCTCCCAAAAGGTTTAAATGCAAAGCCCTGATAAATTCATGGCACAGACCTACAAGTGAGTCAGTGCCTGGAATTGAGACCTTTCTCTGCTTTCTGTGAGAATGTGGCACCCTAAGCAGGAACAAATTCAGTGCCTGGTACAGCTCACTGTGAAAACCTTGAATTTTGGAAGGGACAGGGGCTCACTAAGTGGGAAGGGATCACCTAGGCTGCTTTGAATGTGGACCAGACTAACAGTGGTGGAAGGACTGGATGTGCAAGGGAGGAGACAGCATGGTGCAATGAGAAGCCAAAAGTCAGCCAATACACGGATTAAAAATTCATGTCAGTCTGAGGTCAACTTCCAGCAATGCTGTGAAGAACTACCTGCACCAGGTGAGTCTGTGGCACAGCAACTCAGCATACAAGGGACAAAGCTGCATCTGGCCCCTTGGGTAGAAGGGAGCCAAGCTATGAAAATGGGGGAAGCCAGATCTGAGTGCTGGCAGTGGACTGGAGAGCCTTCCCTCTGTGAATATCAGGGGTGGTGCCAATGGGCTGCCCATTGTAGTGACAGCTTTTCTAGAAATCTCTGCAGCAATTTGTGAAGTAGCTCCAGAGATGTGGTCACCTTTCTGCCTAACTGCTCTTCCTACATCAGAGGAAAGCAATAATACAGAAAGAAACAAATGGAAACAAGGAACTTCCAGAAGGTAAGGACTGTAGAGTCCTGTCCTGTCTCCAACTCTACAGAACCTCTACAGAAGTTACCTGGCCATTTTAATCTGGCCAAAGACTGATAAATGAGGTTCAGTTCTCCACCAATTGTTCCAGTCTCATTCCTCATGCCAGCACAAATGTTTATACAGTCACCAAGATCAGATCCAGTTAAAAACTGACAACATGGCCACAGGAATGTCTGTGCCAGCACCAGAAAGGGAGTGGGAGCACAGCAGATGCCCAAAGAGCTACTCACTCTTCCCAGCAGCTGCCAGGATTTGTTTTATGAAACTGGATGTGTAACTGCACCTCCAGGTGAAGTACAACACAGGGGAATGGCAAACACCTCGACCTCCTAACATGGATATAAACCACCAGTCTCTTACATGTCATTCCAAGAAGAAAGGAAGGTTTGCCTTTGACAACCACACCCACAGGCTGCCAGCCAAACCTCACTGTCTTGGGCCAGCTTTCAAGACAAGGCAAGCAGGAAGAGAGCCTACTGTGGGAACTCAGAGCCTCTTCTCTGTCCTTTGCTTAGACAGAGTGCAGTGGCTCTTGCAGAATAATGCTGGTAGTCATTTCCTTAGATTCCCCCCAAATTGTGCAGCTTCTGAGGTACATGTCTGTCTGCTACGTGCACACTTGCTGCTTTCCTGGAAAGAAGCACACACGTGCTCAGGGCTGGGAAGCTGAATACAGCAGTTACTATTTTTATTTTATCTAAAATACTGGCCACAAACACACTGTACCACATGCTGGACTTCATCCTACATCCTTCCTGGCCCTGTGTGTATTGCTAAGAAAAAATCAACCCAATCTCTTGCAGCACATAGATGTTGTGTCAAAAGCAGAAACCAGGGAATCAGAAGGCTGAAGAAAAACAGAAAGAAAAAAACTTCCTGCAAAACAATGGAAGCAGCAGTTTGAACAAGGACATAGGAGAAAAAGCATATTCCCAGAAAAAAAAAAAAAGCATATTTCCAGGAAATTATTTTTTCTTCTTCCCCACTATTTTACACTGCAACAAAGTAACTGTTGTTAATTTTAAACAACAATTCAAGGATGAAGCACCATGGCACACAATTTATTTAAATGAATCTTGCCTCAACATTTTCAGCATGTTTTTCAAAATTGCTGTGTTTTCCTTTAAGGAGTCAGGCAATCCAAATGTTCCAGGTTATGCACAGAGTAATCACTTGGCATGAACAGCTCCTAGCCCATGTACTGTGGCAGGGTTAGAACAGAATCACAGCATATCCTGAGCTGGAAGGGACCCACAAGGATCATCCAACCCCTGGCCCTGCACAGGACAGCCCCAGGAGTCCCACACTGCGGTAATTTACATATTATTGTTATTACATATTACCCCCAGAGCATCAGCTTTCCCATGGACAGCCGCTATGGAATAATGGCTCAGGGGCTCTTCAAAACATAAAAAGGGAGGAAGAACTTACTGTGGGAGATGTGTGAACCCTGACCTGCTGCTTATTAATGGATGGAGAGTTTAGTAATCAAAAGGCTCGAATGCAGTGCCTGCACAGAGGTGACAGGAACAGCCAGTCAGCTCCCTCTGATTTTACCCCTTTTAAGATCTCTGTGATAATGGCTGACTGTCTCCCTCTGTGCTGCCACTGGCAAGGCCACCAGACACCTGCTCGTGTTCTCTTTTGCAGGGTGAAGGGACCACGCTGGGGCAAGCCCAGCACCGTAAATTATGAGGCAATTTGCATTGTAATTCATGCTGCTTTAAGAGAGGAAACCCATGCACATGCACTTCCTTTGATTTCTTTCCTTCCAGGACAACTTTGCACCCCATCCCATCCACCAACACGGTTCAGCTGCTCTTCTGGGAGAAGACAGACCTGGCACCATGAAGCTGTGCTCCACTCTGCTGTTTTGGCATGACATGGGACCAGTAGTCAAGGCTGAAGAATATTATCATACTCTTTAATTTTAATTATAACATCTGTTTGTAACATTAACCTCGCAGTCTCTTCTCCCCTTTGTGACAGCTAACTTGTGAAATTTTGAAAAGACTGAACAGGGCCAATAAAAATTTAATGGCAGCGGCAGCTTTATTCTCAGATCTAACAAATAAAAAAGCCCTACCAAAGTCTCAGATCTCAGGCAATAATCTAAAAGAACTAAAAAAAAGCTGAAGCAAAATAAATAAATTAAAAAACCAGAATATTCCTAGCTATGAAAAATATTGTCATTGATTCAGAACATAAATGAATTTTTATTTGGCTTAGGATAACAACCTTTCAAAATCTACACGGGGGAACTATTTTCTAGAAAGCAGAATTTTTAAGTGTTTTTTTTGATTAGCTTTTGAAATAAGGAGCTTTTTCAGTCCCTAATTCTAGGAGATGAGCCAAATATGGTAAATAAGGTTGAAGCTGAGCAGCATCTATGATCTAGTGATCATAATTTCATTTAATTTGGAAACACTCATGGGAGTGCACCCTATAGAAGGGGCTACAAAAAGCAGATCCACCCCAGTCGTTTGATAGAATTCTCTGAAATTATTACTGTAATTGAAAGATAGAGCAGGATTTATGTTTTCAGACTGAAATAATGTTTCACAGGATAAAGTGGAGAGGGCTGCTCATGAATGCAGTGTCTTACTGTCTGGTTTGAAATGAAAAACTCATCAGAGGACGTACTGAATGGCTTGGGGGAAGGCAAGCAGGATGAAAAGCCTGTCCCTCCTCTCTTAAATACTTCTGCTGTTAAAATTTAGTCCAAAACAGTGCTGACTAAAATGTTGTCTTGTGACCTCGGAAATAAATGTTTCATCTTAAGCTTTCTCCATATAAAGCCTGTACATTACAACAAACCAGGAACTGATGTAGATAAAAATGAGATCAAGCACCAGGGAGACACACTGGGTCAGAAAGTCCTGGGTGAAGTTAGATAACTGGTGGCTCAGATTTGTTCTTTGGGCACCTGAGCCTATCCCCACAAGATCAGCTGGCATGTTCCAGTGAGCAAGTGGAGAAAAGAGAATGACCTGGGAGTATGGACATAGGACACTTGATCAGCTTCTGCTCCTCTGGCCACAGGCAGATGGGAAGAGCTCAAGAGCTCAGCCAGAAGAGTGATGAATCCCACATCTCAGTGGCTGCAAGTCCCATAGTATTAAAATACTTAAAAGCCAAGGTTTACAGCATGAAGTCCTGGAAGAGTGTATCCCTCCATGTTTGCCCTCCCCTCCTGGTTTGGTTTCTGTAAATTACACACATTTTTGGTATGGCTGCACAATAAATAGAGAAATTGTGCATAATTCCAACATCACTAGTTCTGTATCAGGATAAAGCTGCTGAGGGCTGAGAGACTATCATACCAAACACCACAACATCCTTCCCTTGGTCCTACAGACCTCCCCAGGCATCAGCTAACAGCCAATGCTGGACACAAAATACGGAGCAGATGGATCTGTTGCCTGGTCAGCTCTAGATTCCTCACATCAGAAGCTCACAATTGTACCATAAAAGTACCAGCAATCTTATTTCAACAACACGAGGATGTTACTGTAACCAGCTGTCTGCTCCTGCCTCTCTGCTCCCATCTACTGTTTTGCTGTCACAAAGGCCTGGGGAACTTCTTTGTTCAGTGCAAGGTGAGGTTGGGTTAGCTACAGCCACCAGAGGAGATGGCAGGGGCTGGAAAGGTGCAAGTGGTGCTGTTCAGTCACTCCTGACACACTGAAAACAGCATGTCTGCCTCTGGCCACATTAGAGAATCTGGGGCACTTCAGGGATTGGCCAGGTGTTCAGTCACTCCTGACTGAAACACACTGAAAACAGCATGTCTGCCTCTGGCCACATTAGAGAATCTGGGGCACTTCAGGGATTGGCCAGGAAACAGCACCAAAAAAGAGCTTTTCTACCAATCTAGGTATTGTGCAGGGTTTTTTTCAACAAATAAACTCGAGAGGCTGCTAGTACACTGCTGTTCACTATGCATCCACATACAGGTGAACAAGTTACCTTCCCTCTGCAGCACAGACAGGGGAGCCTGGCAATCTGATTCTGGCACACTACTCAGCTTCACTTATTTTCCTTCATAGTCTTGCTAGCTTACATACAATATCCTCTGCTTAGATTCTCCCATCCTGAGCAAGGACCAGAGATGGAGGTGGCCCCATTTGAAAAGCAAAAGCTGAATGTCATTGTCATTTTAATTAATATCCTGCAGAAGCAAGAAGAAAAGCAAATAAAAAAGGATGAAAGAAAATAAAAATCAAAACAAAATCAGGTCAATCCTCTTTCCTGAGGGATCTTCTGCAGACAACCCAAGGATCCCCACATCCTGCACTGCACCCTTCACCTAACTGTAGCCTGACATCCCACTTCCACCCTCCTGTCCTGGGGAGGCCGAAAGGCAGCTTTGGAAGGGGCAGAAAGCAATCCTGTTGTACAACACCAGTAATCTGACACTGCCTTTAACGAGATTATCTTGTATCCCTCTGTCCTCCCTCCCCCAACACACAAGAAACCCTTTTTAAGGCCAGTGCTGGTTTGTTTCTCTACGCTGGGAAGCTTATGCTACCGAATAATCTGCACTTTTGTCCTCCCCCTGCGTTATTTCTGTCTCTGGGTGTTTCTCATTTTCCTGTGTCTTATGCTTTTCCCTCCTGGCATTAATAACATTGTGGAGAATGATTTCAGATGCCAGCCTAAGTGTGTGTTTCAGAGATGCAGCTTTGGACAGAAAAGGTTGGCCCTGTGAGACAGGGAGATGGAGAGGACATTTCCTGCGGTCTTGCTCACCACCAGGGACCACAGGGTGAGCATCCCCTGCAGAGCCATCAGGTTTCCCATCCCATGGATGCTAACAGGGATTAATTAATTAATTAATTGTGGTGATGGGCAGAAGGGAAGAGGGGAAAAGGCAGACAGCTAAATACAGTAACAACAAAGGACTGTGTTGAAGGAGGTGGCACAAGTGAAGTGCCTCAGACAACAGTGTCAGATATGCCCAGGGAGAGACAGGACAGAAATACAACCCTGAGAGAGCCTTAAGGAAACTGCAGGCTGAGAAAGGGGAAGTGAAGCCTCGTGTGGAGAAAGCCCCTTGTAGGACTGGAGGGATGAAGATGGGAAGGAGACTAGTTATGGCTTATAAGGTAATTACATGTCTCTTAATCAGTAACACTGCTGTTCCAAGAACCCTTCTGGGGATTTCCAGGCTGCACATTCATGGCTGGAGCTGGGGGCTCAGGAGCCACTGTCAGGGTGAAAGCTCAGCACTGAGCTCGCTGCAGGCTGGTCCCAAGCATCCAGGTTATCCCAGCCCAAGCTGAGCAGCTTTGCTGCAAAACCCTGCCTACATTACCTGTCACTGCTGGCAAGCTGCCTCCCACGTATTGCGGAGCCTTGCTGGCACAACCAGGGTGGGTGGCTGGGTTTTCTTTTGGTTTGTTTTGGGGCTTTTTTTTCTGATTCTTTCACAAGGAATGTGAGAAGACTCATCTATTCTTCCAGACACATACAGTTTAGAGGGAAAGGTCAGTTGGGTTATGCATTAACAGTACAGTCAGTGGCTTGTCAGACTAAATAACACAGAATTAAAAAACTTCTACCTGCAACCCTGGATGGATCAGCTAATTTCTGGGAAGAAGAGTTTGGATGCTAAAGGAAAGCAGGCAACATTTGAGAAACACTCAAACTTAACTCATCTGTAGAGACAGCTCCTAAACCTGCTACCATTCCAAACCCACAGAAACCTGCTAAAGTGTTAGAGTTCTAATTTTCAGAGAATGAACAAGTACAACTCTACAATCAACAGGAAAAATACTTCTGTGGATATAAAGGCTGTAAGCTTTTAATCTTACATGTTGTAATTCATATTTTTATACATACCTGAGCCTCTTTTTAATCGTCTTCTTGCAAGTTTAATTTGATCCTGAAGAATCTGGACCCAGTCCCTAGGACCAGGAAGTTTATCCACATGGTTAGCAGTGCAGTACTTTTCTGTAAAGACTGAAATAAAAAGATACCACTTTTTTGAAATGTGCCACCAAAAATGGAGAAAAGGAGATGGGAGAGGGTGTTAATCAAAATATATGAAATTATTCAATTATCAAACAGAATTTTAATGGCCAAATGTAGGATTGTGAGAATAAAGCCCAACTCAGTGTATCACAAGTTCACCATTCAGAAGTGACTTGGCTGCATAAATATCACAAGAATGACATCATTACTATGCCTAAAAGCCTGTCCCAGAGAAATGTTCTACACCTGATGTCTTCATGAGATTCACACAAAATGATCACATCAAAATAACAGTGTACTTAGAACTGAGTCTCAGATGTGGCAGGCACTTTTTAATGCTGCCTTCCATATGGTACAGGTAGAGAGCTGAAGATCTGGTCATTTGGTGGCCTCTTGGTCGGGTTCCTAAGGCTGCAGGCAAAGCTGTGAAAGAGTAAAGTCCTACCACTGTGGAAATCTCCACAGTTTTTATCCTGCCAAAACAGATGGAATAGAATTTTTATAAAGCTACTAAAAAAAGAGGCACTATTACTGAGAAAAAAACAATATCCTACAGGTCAAATTTTGTGTTTTGTAAAAAAGGTACAGAGAGAGTCAACATTATCTTTAAATCCATATTTACAACAAACCTAACAGTGTTACACCAAAACTATAGAATTACAAATGGAGTGAAACTGATGCAATTGATTTTCATCATGCAACTGAGAGGTATGCAAAAAATAAAAAAAATAAACAAGTGCAGAAATAGAAAAAATATTCTTGCTGTTAGTATTGCTATTGTAGACTTGGTCTTGGTCAGAGGTCTCAGAGCCCAGTAATGTCCAATTATGAGTGGCAAGCAAAGTGAGAAAGCTGGTCCCAGATCAAGGGATTTGTAACCCTTGAAAATAAGTATCACTTAATGGAATCAGGAAACGTGCAACAAAAAAATGGGAATTTCAGTATTTTTATACACACTTTTGAAGCAGCACTACCTGCTAAGTATAAGAGAACCAAAAGTAATCTCCCCCTCCAAACTCCTTCCATGCTAACAGCTTCACAAAACCATGGCGAGGCAGGCATCATCAACACCTTGCAGTGCAGTCTGATCTACAAGGACATCAGACCAACTCTGAGGGCTGCCCACTCAAGTCAATACACCCCCACACATTCACAGTGTTTGATTTGCAACAATCATCATCTTTGTGAAGGTAGGAATAATCTTTCCCTTCTGAGTCCATATGGTATCTGACACAGTGGACACCTGATGAATGACTTGAAACTCCTACTTACTTAAAAACTGCTCAATGTGTGGTTAGACAAGTAACAACGTGGACAAAAAGGAATGGGAATGCAGCAGCAAGGAGGCAGGAGAATTGGGACCTGCCCTTTCCAGTCCACCCAAGCTGTATGGTATTAACAAATCCTCTGCCAGAGAAATATTGACTGGTTTGAATTTAAAGGGGACTTTAAAGACCATCTAGTCCAACCCCACTGCTATGAGTAGGGACATCTTGCACTTCATCAGATTGCTCAGTGCCCTGTCCAAGCTGATCTTAAACACTTTCAGGGATGGAGCACCCACAGCTTCTCTGTCAAACTGTTCCTATAGTCACCATCATCACCAAAAAGAAAAGGCTTCTTAATGTCCAACTAAATGCACCCTCTTTCATTTTAAAGCCACTGCCCTTTTGTCCTGTCACTACAGGTTCTGGTAAAATATCCATCCTCATCTTTCTTACAAGCCTCTTTTATATTATTATTATATATTTATATTATATTAAAAGGCCACAATAAGGTCTGCTAGAGCTTTCTCTTCTTCAGGCTGAACTACCTCAAATCTCTCAGCTGGTCTTCACAGGAGAGGTGCTCCAGCCCTGTGACCATCCTGGTGGTCTCCTCTGGAATTGCTCCAACAGGTTCCTGTCTTTCCTGTGCTGGGGACCCCAGAGCTGTCTGCAGCACTGCAGGTGGGGTCTCACCACAGTGGAGCAGAGGCACAGAATCATGCCCACAGTTCTTGTGATGCCAGCTGGGACACAGCTGACTTTCTGAGCTGTGACATTGCTGGCTCATATCTAATTTTTGTCTAACACTAGCCCCAAGTCCATCTCTGAGAGCAGGGTTGCTCTCAGTCCCTTCATCCACCAGTCTATGCTGATACTGGGGACTGCCCCAACCCAGATGGAGGACCTTGCACTCGGTCTTGTTAAACATCAGGAGGTTCACATGGACCCAACTCCTCCAGCCTGCCAAGGTCCTGGATGGCATCCCTTTCCTCCTGTCACCAACCGCTGATACTAGGGACTGCCCCAACCCAGTTGGAGGACCTTGCACTCGGTCTTGTTAAATATCAGGAGGTTCACATGGACCCAATTTTCCAGCCTGCCAAGGTCCTGGATGGCATCCCTTTCCTCCTGTCACCAACCACACTACTCAGGCTGATGTCATGTGCAAACTTGCTGAGGGTGCCCTAGAAACCAGTGCCTGTGTCATTGATGAAAATATTAAACTGTACTGGTCCCACTATGGATCCCTGATGGACACATCACACTTGTATCTGAAGACAGCTCATTGATTTCTGCAGGGAAGGATTTTACTAGCTGAATTTCTAGTCAACAACCCAAAGGAAAAATAAGTGCTTCTGACTCGTTTTATTTTTTCATCTTTTTTTTTCTCTCCCAGTTCTGAGTGCAAGACTCACAAGAGAAGCTGATTGCCCAGGAGAAACACTGCAACTGATACAAGTGCCACTGAATACCCAAAGTCAAAAGAGAGAATTGCTCCCTGGCTAATCATTCTGTTGCAGAAGCATTAAATTACTTTTAAGGACAGCAGTGAAAATGTTTTCAGACAGGAAGAGTGATTTTCAAGCAAACAGTCCCTCCTTTAAATTCTCTGCCCATTTTTGTCATTAATGTAGCCTTTTGTATCTCTGTCATGGAAAAGGACTAAAAGTGCCACTAAAGGATATCTGGGCACGTGGTAGAAGAATGTCCTAATGATAATAATGCAAACAACATGATGCTGTTCTTGTAGAGATTTCATACTGGCTCAGTTATTTCTTGGAATAAATGAAACCACAGTGTCTATAGCCCAGCTCCTTGGAGGGAAGAAGGGTGCTATTGGAGCCAGACTGAGTGAAGACCCACAGGACGTCAGACCTTGGCATCTTATTCCATCACAGATTTAGGGACAGGCTTCCCTATCAGGGATCAAGCACTAGCATTTGGGCAATACTGTAAATACCAATAAAGATCACTGTTATGGCAGTGGTACCTAGTAGTACCATCACAGATTAAACTTTTCTGTTGGAACTACAAGTCCCTCCTTTCTTCTCTTAAACTCAAGGGAAGAGGTTAAGCCAAGCCTCAGAATTTGCTCCACTAGTACAATCTTAGCTACTGAGAAACACTGCTCTCTGCAGTGTGTACCAGCTGCTATTTTAGTAGTCCTGTTGCATTTACTGTAAAACATTTATTTTATCAAGTGCTGTTCAAATTAGAGTGCCTTTTTTTGAAGTAATTTTGAACTCCTCTTTCTTTCATTTAACTTATTTATTAAAGCTTTTAAGAAACAATGAGATACAGATAGAGGGAATTCAGATTTTTGCAGACTACTGAGCTCAAGAAAAGAAGGTGCAAAACAGTGTTTGTGATTTAAATCTAAACAAACATAACTGTAAGAAAGTCTGTCACCTGCTCTGTAAGATATATCAGAACTATGACATAGGCACAGCATACACTTTACTGTGGTGCAAAACAGTGTTTGTGATTTAAATGTAAACACAAACATAACTGTAAGAAAGTCTGTCAGCTGCTCTGTAAGATATATTAGGACTATGACATAGGCACAGCATACACTTTACTGCAGAACTGCACAGTTGAGTGTCCTCTGAAAGCCCCCATGCCCAGCCTGCTGCTCAAAGTATGGCCAACTAGATAACTGTGTGTGGCCAGTCACATTTTGAGTATTTCCAGGGATGGAGGTCCTGCAGCCCCTCTGAGCCCCTACTGCACTGCTCAACCCTTATGCTGAAAATGCTTCTTATCAAATTGCACTTTTCCACGTGTTCAGTGCCTCTTGTGCCTCTGAGAAGAGTCTGACTCCACTTCTCCACATCATCCCATTAGGTACTTGTGAACAGCAGTAGGGCTTCTCCTGAATCATCCTCTCTCCAGTTCTCTCAGCCTGCCCTCATTTGATACTGCAGCAGGGAAGTGGTGAAGTCCTAAGTCTTGGTGGTCCCTCCACTGGACTCAAGCCAGTTTGTCAATGTCCTTCTTTCATGGGGAGAGAAGTCCAAAAGTTGGCACAGAGGTGGCTGCAGAAGATTTTCCTGCCTCCTTTTGCTGCCAATGGACTCACAGAAGCTCTTCTTATTGCCCTGTGTCTAAGTTAGCAATCTGTACCTGAGAACAAATCACAGCCTCTAAAATAAGCTCACTCTTAGAGCTTATTTTTGGCCTGTCTTTTGATAATGTGGGTATTGTCCCTACAATATCAGGTTTCAAAATAGAATTCAGTTCAGAAGCTCTGGCCTAATAATACCAGCCCTTTATAAGCTGTCATCACAGAGTTTGAAGGTACATGTGCTCTTCTGGAAGCTAGACAGCAGTGACTGCTAGGAAAAATCAACCAGCAAAAGGTGCTCACACCAAGAAACTTGCTCCCCCAAGACAAGGACCACTGTACTTATGAGCATGAAACTCATCTCATGCCAGTATTATCTTCCTCTATTTCTCCCCAATCCAGCCAGCAACTACTGAAAAATTTACAGAGCAGACACAGTCAAATACAGTGCAAGACTCAGAACCTTGATTGAAGTGTATCAGTTACACTGTCATTATGTTTTCAAGATTTCTTTGCATCTCTGATATCTGGGGGAAAAAAATAATTATCTTGCATGAACACTGAGTTTCCAACCTTAGAGCCTGACTTCAGAAACCAGGATCACTGGCTTAAAATTAACACAAGCTGTCCCCGTAGAAGCTATTTTTAACAAGTGAATGAAAGGGAATAAAAATAAGACTGCATATTTTAATAGACCTAACACACGTCAGAAATTCTAATCCCCTTACACTCTCCTTAGCTGAGAATATGTTCTAATTACACATAAGAAAGAAAGCAGAAAACTTACCTTTTATTGCACCCACAATATTTTGGTCTAGTCCTTTCCGGTTGTCATTGAGCCCTCTTTTCCTTTTGCCATTTGGTAAAGAATTAGCCAAAGTCTTGTCATCAAAAAATGCACAGACCAGCTTCCTAAAGAGCAGACTTCCTGAGCGAGTGTAGTTTGATAGTATAGAGTCCAGCTGTGATTTTGGCATGAAGACATCAAAGCCTTCTGCAAGTTGCACTTCTGGCTACCAAAAGAATACAAATGTTTTAATTAAACGAGCATTCAAAGACATTATTTAACTTCAATCATGCATCTGGCGAGACTTTACAATCACTTCATCAAACCATGAATCTTTTCCCAGCTATTCAGGACCACAGCAGCCTAATTCATTGAAATCAAACCCCATCAGTGAATAAGCACCTTAAAAGGCAAATCAAACAATCACACTCCTTGTCTAATGTCTGTAAAAGTTAACAACTACTGACATCATTTCTAGGCATACAGCTAACAAAAAGCCAGGAGATACCTTTCAATGTTGGGTAATAATGACAAAGCACAGGATCATGGCAGAGCAGCGCTCCAAAGCGATGCTTTTTGAACATTTATCTAACCATTTAATGGACTTGTTTCACTGCCAAATGCTGTGAACGAGTGTGCTGTGGGGCAGCCAGGCACTTCCAAGAAGCACAAATGCAGGGATACTGGCCCAATCCGTGTGGCTTCCCAAGAGGGAAGATATGGCCCACATGAGTATAAGCAGATGATGAGTTCGAGGTTGCCCCTGGAGCCAGCACTTGCTGAGCATCCATTTGTCCCTCCTTTTCATAGTCCCAAAATGCATGTTTAGAAGAGGATGATGTTAGGCAGTTTATTTCAGTACAAAAACCCTCAATGGTGAATCACAGGGATTTAGGTGACTGCCAAGGTGAAATGGAAGGGAAGAAGAGAAAAGAAAATCATGCTGTGTTTCACAAGAGTTTTCTCTCAAGTACACTGAGGGCCAAAATAGACAAAAGCCTTTGAGGAAGTCCCCTTACCAAGAGTCTTTCTGCTGCCCCTGTCTGTACATATCAGAAATTACATGAACACCATTTGCAGAATTTTCTTCTGTGAGTACCATACAATGCTTATGGTAAGACTTCTTCACAGAATAATCACATATCTAGAACACACATTGGGAATAAACTAAACTTTTGATAATACTGTTTAGAAGTTGGCAAGGAGGTAAAAGAATCAGTGATCATGATGTGAGGAAATAAGCCAATATTACAGCCTTGCTCCTAAGAATTTGCCCCTTTTTCCCCCTACATGAAATATATTCAGCAATAATGATGTATTTTCAGAGAAGTTTACAGAGCAAGAGCAAATGCCATCTCCCATCATATCACCTGCAAACATCTTCAGTCTAGACAGAAGAAGGGCTTCCAGACTCAGAACAATTTGACTGTGTACTTCTTTTCCCATGGATTTCTAAAAAGCAGCATGGAGAATGTTGCAGCAAGTAGAGTATACCCAAAGCATGTACTGTCATGGGATATGGATGTGTACTGAGCAATAAAACTGAAGATTACAATGATTTGGGTAGCCAGGATGAAGAATCTTAAAATATGCAGAGAGCAACAACAACAACAACAAAATTTCAAGAAGCTTGTAGTTCCTCAGCTTGTTCTGGATGAAAATTTGGATTTTTGTCTCAAGAACTTTGAAAAAGCTGGATCCAGCAAAACCATCAGTTACTGACATTTGACAATATTCCAGTGTAGGTGGGTTTTTAATATGTTACTTCTAAACTTCTGATGACAGAAAAGATTTTCAAGAGTAAATAAATGAGGGCCAATTTCACAACTTGGGAAAAATTCTACTTCATGCAAATCAAAAACCAGAACGCAGCTGATATGGTGATGAAGAATACCTGCCCTATTCTGTGTCTTTGGTCTTGTGATAGCCATCTAAGATGACCTCAATGATCCAGACACCCAGGGCAGAGAAATTATAGAACCACAGAAAAATTTAGATTGGAAAAAGCCTTAAAGATTATTAAGTCCAGCCATTAACCCACCACTTAACCATGTCCCCAAGTGTCACATTTACATATCTTTTAAATGCCTCCAGGGATGGTGACTGCCACCACTTCCCCAGGCAGCCTGTTCCAGTGCTTGACAACCATTTTGGAGAAGAAATTTTTCCCAATATCCAAAGTAAACCTTCTGTGGTGCAACTTGAGGCCATCTCCTCATATCACTTGTTAGTTGGGAGAAGAGATGGACACCCACCTGGCTATACCCTCCTCTCAGGGCGTTGCAGAAAGTAATAAGGTCATCCCTGAGTGTCCTTTTCTCCAGGATAAATATCCCAGCTCCATTGCTCTTCTCTGGACATGCTCCAGACCCTCAGTGTCTCTGTTGTGAGGAGCCCAAAACTGACACCAGGATTACACCAGGATTTGAGGTGAGGCCTCACCAGTGCTGAGTACAGAGGGACAGTCACTGCCTTGGTCCTGCTGGCCTAGCTGCTGCTGGTACCCTCACCAAAAGCCAGTTGTTCCTGTGGTACCTTTTCTGAACCTCTTACTTAAAACCCAAAAAGCCAGAAGGATCATGAGGCCCTGCTATTATCTTCTCTATTTGTATTGAAAAATCAAGTGAGTCTATCTCTTCTCTCTCCTCTCCTCCCCCTTCTCTTCCCTGGTCTTACCTTAGAACACCTGCATTACACTTTGGCAGGTGCACCAACCACCCTGCAATACAGCTGTAAAATACATTTCAAACCTTACCATTGTACCACTGTGGAGGAGTCAGTATTATTATAGTTGTCATTGTTTTATTCTTAATATAGCAATCAATTTGTTTATCAGTGAAATGGTTTGGAGGCAAAACTATGATTTATTCTTGCTTTTCTTTACTAGTTAGCTATTCTTAATCAAAGACAATCAGTAACCATTTGAACTTCATGATCACTCTGAATGTAATTTCTCAAAGAAAAAGCACTTATTAATAGATAATGATCATGGCAAAGAGGAACTGGAGGGTAAACTATTTGTGAACAACAAAATAAAGAAGACCTGAATGCTTTTGCTGTGCTAAAACTGACAGTGAATTAGATTTAATCCTAGATATTTTAGTAGGTTGTAATGTGGAGATTAAAAATGATTAGGATATAAATGAAATATTACAACTGTAAAACAAACACAAGTTCAACTAAGAGTTGTAATCAGATAATTGCATTTATAAAGCAGGTTCTCTGATCCATGGTCCAGATTGAGGGCTTGTCTCACTGAGACATTTTCCACCTCTGTATGTAGCAGTATTTCATCTCAGCAAGTCTGGACTAACTGCACTGGTTTTGGCATCCCTGATTTTATAGCCATTAAATTTGGATTCTTCTTTAAGTTCAATAAATGTTGGCAAAATAGCAGTGGCAGCAGTAGTGATGTATGACACAGCACACACTACAGACAACCTGTGGAATTCTCAAGGGAACATTAATTTATGGTGCTTTGTAAAATGTCTTTCAGGTTTTTTCAGGCTGGTTGTGACAACAGCAGAAATGCTTATAAAAAAGTAGAAAAAGATAATGCTGCCATTCATTCTCAAAGAAGTGACTTTCTTAAGTCTTCTCAAAATATTTAAGGTCACATTTTATTTTTGCACTAAACATATCTGTTTTCAGAACTCAAATGTTTTCTATCCAAAGACAAAACAGAATCAATTTGTGTGTCATGGGGTTCTGGCTCCGTAAATTTAGTCAAAAAACTGTTGTGGCAAGCAAAGGCTCAAGCATGGAAAGACAGATGAAGACCTGATTTACGAGCCAAATGTTTTCTCTTTTTTTCCTTAGGTCAAACTGGCAACTACAAAGAATCGTGTCCAGTGATGAAACACATTCATAAAGCCAAATTAAATTTCATTGCAAGCACAGAACTGTTTTCAAAACCGTGTTTCAAGCTGACAAGAGTGCCACAAGCAAAGAAAAATTATAAGCACAAATTGCATACTGGAGATAAATTACCAGTCCTCCCCAAACCTTTACCTCAAACATTATGAAGCTCAGCACTACAAAAGGAAACCCTCTGAAAAAAAGCATCAAACTAGTTACTCTGTATCACTACACCGACTCTGTGGCATGAGACTGCAACCTAATTAGTGGTGTGGCTTGCATCTCTGTAACTGAATTATCCTGACTGCTCTTTTTTATTATTAGTTCCCTCTTCCAGAAGGATAGAATATTATCTGTTGCATTGTTTTCATTTACGCTTATTGATACGGAATTTAATTATGTTTTTCTAGCTCATAGTACTTAGAATATTGGAAAGAGCCTGCTCAAAATTAAAAATATATTAGAGGAATTAATGAACAGTTTACTCGTTGGTGAACTGGTTTGGATGACATCAATTTGGACATTAAACAAAGCCAATTATCCACCAGAGACATGGAATTTCTATCAGTGTGTACATGAATCAAGAAAACATGCTTACTGCAATTTTCTATGGGAAAAGTGCATATTCTTAGAGTGGCAAATTTTGGCCGTTTTAGTCACACTAACATCATCAACAGTGCTGAGGCCCTACTCCAGCACACAGAGCAATCAAGACCAAATGACCCAATTCAGCAAAGACTCAATATGAATTTTTCTAGAGATGAGGAGTCCCCCAAAGTCAGGGGGACCAGAAAAGCAGGAAAGCACCTAAATACTCCTTGGCAGGATAAGGACCCATGTGTGGACTACATGGGCTCATCAGCAATGATGGGGCTGTGAATGCTTTACACACCTTGCACTTTTCATGGCTCCACAACTCAACCATGGCTCTTGGCATTGGGAGAGATGCAGAACAAGTTTCCACTGAAAGCTCAAAGAACAGGAGCCTTGAACTCAAGCGAAAACTTCATCTTTGTGAAAATTGAAAAAAAAGACCCAAAATCCCATAATGAGCACACCACACATCGAACCCTAACATCTCCATTCACTCCTACCCAAGATTTGCTTGTTCATTCTAACAAAAAGTGGGAAGATGCACCAATATCACTTGAGTACTGATTCTCCTGAATGAGTCAGTATTTCAAAATCTTGCAATCCTGCATATTAAAATTTTAACTTACATCTGATGAAGTTGATTCAAGGATAATTCCAAACCCTGAAACAGGGGTCTCTGGCTTCAGGGGGGGTTCAATTGCTTGCAGACTTGGTTGTTCTGTGTTTGCTGTCAGTCTCTTCTCGTTCTCTGGAGAGCTGGGTTTCTTATTTGTGGAAACTGCTTCAACAACTTTGAGGGGCAGTTTTCTCTTTTTATTTCTCTTTCTTGATATTGTTGACTTCTGTGCACAAATCAAAGGAACAGGAGGCTGCTGTCTGTTTTGAGTCCCAACTGAATGAAAGAAATTAATGCATTAATTTTACAGACAAAAGCCCATGAATATCCACACAGATGCACCATTAAACTACTGACTCACTGAACTTATTTTCTAGATAAGTGATGTGATTTTCAGGGCTGCTGGTGCACGGGAAACAAATAAGTTTTATCACCTTTGCATAATTTTCCAATCTGTACAATGGGGATAATGACAGTGAGCTCTGTGGTGAGGCTTTTCAAGCCATACTGATGAACAGTATTTTAAGGAAATTAGGAATATACAGTTCTTTTTCCTAGTGCCCACTGGATGGCTGGTGACATGAAGCACTTAAGTGATGATTAATTTGTGCACCCTCTAAGTGACTGAGAATCTCACTCTTTGAGGATCTCTTCCTGATAAAGTAAGATAATACAAGTGCTAATGCAATTACAGTTATTTTTATGACAGTGGTCTCCAAGTTAATTAGCTCAGCAAGAACATTTCAAGTACTATTATGTCAAGAATGAGTGAAAACACTATTCAATAGTTTAATTTCTGAGGGAAAAGAAGTAACCCAAAGTTCCATCAGTTTGTTTTGCTCATACACAAAAGCTGACATGTATTACCTCTGAAATATAAGAAACCATATTTTACATTTATCAATATTTTGCATTTTCCGGTATCCACAATCATTTATATAAATTAAGGCACCAACCCTGAACCTGTACCAATACAAACAAGCCCCCCCAGAAGGTATCTATCAAGATACCATTATGTGTGTGGATAAATCACTAAGATCAAGGTCAAAACAAACAAAGAAAAAGCCAGAAGTGTTCTACATGCAGATCAAACTCATTAAGATGAGCAGGCTACAAAAAGTCCTCATCTACAAAGCTTCAGGAAGAAAACAAACCTCAGACTATTGTTTATTAAAATATTTCTGGAATATTTCATTTCTGGCAAGGATTTACAAGACTGTGATGTGTAGTTTATAATTAAGACAGTAGGGTGTTTGAATACTAAAATTAGTCATTACACTTTCACTTACAGGTTTGAATTTTAGTTTTTTTTTCTTTTAGCAACAAAAATGCCAAATGATTTCTTTCTCTGCAAAACTGTAAATTCAGAAAATATTAAGTATTCCAAGTGAATCAAAAGATTCACGAATTAACAAAGGTACTTACTCTGTAGATATATAATAAATAAGAAATGTTCTGCTACTGAGGAGTCAGCTCTTTTGGCATAGACCCCAGTTTTCTAACTCTCACTCACAAGCCATTTTTCAATCACCCATGTGATTTCAATGAAATAAATTGGTGTGACTGCATAAAAAAATCCCATGTACCAGCAAAAATTGTAAAACTGGGCTTTTGTGTTCTTCTTTGTAAACTGATGACTTCTAGAAAAGCATTTTTATGTGTGTCAACTGATATTACAAAACCTGTCTGGTCGTTCCCATCACTCACTCAAACATTATACACCGTGGAGACAAGGAGTTTAGTCAGCCCTTCACTCCACCCATATTTCAGTTAATTACTCAACACTCCCTTTTCTTACAGAGGTCTTATCCAGCCTCTCCACAAGAGAAGCTTCCATGGCTCCAGTCCCCATCACTCATGCTGGATGGGCAAGTCAGCTGACAAAATCTCCAACATCTCTATCTCCTCATTAGTATTAACACTAATTTTTAGGCAGCACAGAGCCTACAGCTTCACATCAGCCTATGACAACTCTACCTACCACGTTCTCATTATCCTGCTGGCTCAACTACTCCTCTGGCTCTGCACTGCTCTGTTTCAGCTCCCAACCTAGGAGAAAACTAGACTCAGTAATTTCCCCCAGTGAACAAATTATTGCTGGTATACTGAAAGCTGCTACTTCACAGCCAGAGGAAGGGTGCAGGCAACAACATGCAGCAGCTAGCTCAGCTGAGACTACCACTGAGCTAAAAGAGGTTTGAATGAGGAACTAATTGGTAACTTTCAGCTACCTCCAAATTTTAGTTTTCTTACCCCTAAGATTAGTGAACTGGTAAGCAGAACACAGGTGAGGTTGCATTTGGCACCCCTGAATCAATACACTGTGAAAACAAACTGCACATGGTTATGGCATATTGACCTGCCCACTCAGCTCTCATTACGTATCTGATCACATTAATTTAATTTATTTTCAATTTAGCCTTAAAAGGCTACAAGATAAAATCCCACGTTTCAGGTAACAATCTGAAAAGCAGAAGTTTCATTTCCAAGAAACCTGTGAAAATTTGACTTTGACTGGTATGTCAGGAGAGCAGGAAACAATCCAGGTTTTCCTGAGTGGCCAAATGTCACAGTCCTATTTTCTGAAAAATCCCTTCTGTCTTGGGAAGCTGAGAAGCCTCAGAGAAAAAGGAAAACAACAATTATCTGATTTGCTTCTCCTGTGTTTTGCTGCTATGGAATGTGTTTGGATATTGTTTACCAACAGGGGGTTGTTTCCTTGGGTTCATGTGAATTGTTTTGACTAAATGGCCAATCAGTGCCAAGCTGTGTCGAGGCTCTGAAGGAGTCACAAGTTTCTTTATTATCTTTTTAGCATTCTGTAAGTATCCTTTCTGTATTCCTTAGTATAGTATAGTTTAGTATTTTTAATATAATATAGTATCATAAAATAATAAATTAGCCTTCTGAGAACACAGAGTCAGATTCATTGTTCCTTCCCTCATGTGGGAAATACCCACACAAACTTTAATCCCCTGGACCATTCCCCAACAGGAAGATCACAGTATCATAGAACAGTTTGGGTTTGGAAGGGACCTCCAAAGACCATCTCATCCAACACCCCTGCAACAAGCTGGGCCATCCTCAACTCGATGCTTGTCACAGGTATGCACACACAGGACTGGTCACTGTACCTGCTTGCAGCTGCATCAATTTTCTCATGGTCTTGAGCTCTTGAAGAATCGCCTGCAGGGTTGACTGGCAATTACACATACAGCAGTTTGGTCCAACTGATGAATTCACCATTGGAATTTCTCCTGAAAGAGAGTGGAATGAAATGGGTGAGATGTAAGCCGCACTAAATCACCCAGACAACAACTGGCAGGAGTTTGAAACTATGATCAATATGTCAGATTGTAAAATCAGATCAAAAGCATGAAAGGAAGTAGTTTTCAAGATGATTCCTTTTTACAGGAAAGTTTTTACTCAATTACTAATATGTGCAATTATATTGAGTTGGGATGCAATGTTACATGGGCTGGAGAAGACTGCTCAGAGTGTGAGTATAATGCACTCCTCACAGCAGGGCTTTCTATTGTCAGGCTGGTTCATCTTGAATAACAAAAGCACCAAACCTCATTACAAACATACTTATTTTATCACACACACATAAAAAAGCCCATCTCCTGGAACAGTCTTACAAAGAATGAAGACAGTCTGTGCAATAAAGGTTTGTACTGTACATAAAATGAGGGTCTAGGAATTTTTAAACTGCTTGAATCTTACAGGTGATTCTTTACCATGAGAAGAAGAGAGAATGAAAATAAAATACCCTACTTGGAGAAAAAAAAAACCCCAACAACAGGACAGAAAAGAACCACTGATGATGAAAGCTTTCAAATCTGCTCTTCTGTTTGCTAGGGTGGGATTGTTTTCTATGGTATTTTCCACTACTGTGACCTACAAGATAGGCTTTCCAGAGTTTCCCTTTGAAAACTAATACAGTAGTTTAAGAGATTGCTTTTCTATAGTAATTCTTATTAGTGTTTAACTGAACTTACATAGTTCTAGTTCTAGCCCTCAGCAGTGCTTTTATTAGTGCTTTACTTTGCAGAAATCTTCCATTTTTTGTTCTGAATTAGAACAGCCTGTAACAGCTGAGGGATTTCAAACTTCGCAGGATAGTTGTATCCTGCACTTTAGCTTAAGACAGCTGTATCCCTAGACAGCTATCCCTAGCTGCAAAAATTTCAAAAAAATTTCAAATTTCAACAAAACACCTAACAGTATCTGGTTGAAGCTGAGGCTAGATGGGCACCTCCCTTCCTTTCCAAATGTCCTTACAGTTATTTAAACTGATGGCTATTTTACTGCTCAAGACTGCAGGAGGAGGGATGACCATTTCATGAAGATAGGTACAAATGCACCTAACAAAAAAATCTCATTTGGTGTCACACGTGGACTTCAGCCAGTGTATTTCCCTTTTCCTTCTGTAGCCTGACACTTACCAGGTGCCCTTTAATCATTATCTAGCTAAAGTGAACATAAGCAATTCATTTAATCTCCACTTACAAATCACCACGTTTTTCGTTATTACTTCTGCTTTCCTCTGAGGCCAAACCAGGTTATTAATACCTTTGCAGGTTTGGGTTGTGTTCCTTCATCAGAGATCCCTGATGTCAGACCCACACAGATCCCCTGACTTCAATCCTCATTTGAAATAACTGAAAATCTGGCCACCACCAGGCACTTGTTCTCTGCCTGCTTCCATAGAGTCCTTCAGACCTGAAGCAACATCTACCAGACTTGAGCAAACTCATGGCCACACTCCAAAGGTGAGCTACTTGTAAAACTAAACTAATGCATCACTTAAAGACAGCTGACATCTTCTGGGTGTCACACTCCTCGTTTCCTCAGATATTTAGATACTCCACACTACTGCAATTACAAATTTTGGTATTTTAAAATATCATACATGAATAAAATCTGTTAAAACTGTATTAAGATAAATGGAGTAGTTAACAAAATCCCTACAAATCTAGCAAGTGCAAATGCAATAGAACCACTGGCTTTATCTCTCAAAGGTTTCAGCTGCAAGTAAAACGATTTTTATACTAAAAAGTTATTTGGAAAACAGGCTGAGAATCTCAAAATCAAACAAAAAGGTTTCTGACTCAGCAGGACTCTGCCTAGTTTGATCTCACCCTTCCTTTGTACACAGCCTATTCATTGGAAGTTCCTTGGGGCATGGATGGGATTTTACCTTTTCAATGGTTCATAAAATGTTTAGCCCATTGTTACAGGTACAGAGTAAAAAAAAAATGTTATCTTTAGCTTTGCAGCAGATTAATCAGAATCCCTCAACTTGGCTCCACCAATACCCTTCACCTACATGTTTTAAGTAGATGAATTTCAAGACAACTTATAATTCAGCACCAGCATAACTTTACCTTTCAGTAAGACAGTGGGAGCCCCAGAATTTAGAAGAGTTTCATTAACAGACTAATACAAAGTAAGACCATCCTTCCCTCAGTCCTTTCTCAGCTGTTTTAGACTAAAAGATCCTTGGGATGAAGCCTGTCCTTTCTCTTGATCAGAATTCAATATTCTAGAGGGCTTCTGGAAGTGTTTTCTTCTAGAAATGACATCTGAAAGACTCTGGGGGGAAACAGGGTAGGTGGCTTTTGTTTCCTTCTTAACAAAGGCTCTACATCATGGTGAATTGCACATGAAAACTTGAGCGAATTGTACCAGTAAATACCTGTGCATCTTTCCTGTTGCAATGTAACATGTTCCTAATGAAAACACACAGGCAGACAGGCTCCTGATGGAAAACCACAGGGTCTATTTTCCCATTGAGGCATAGGGGATTTACTTTATAATCCCCATTAGCATTGATAGAAATTACCCATGTAAATCTACCATAGGTACTAGGAATGGGAAAAGAGACCACCAATATTTTAAATCAAAGCAGGGTTCTACTAACTCCTTACATATTCATGAGGGTTTTTTATTTTCTTTCTATCCTCCCTCCTCTGATCAGTTATTGTGTTGTAAGAAATATCTAGTAGAGTGTTCTCAGTCATTGTTCTAAGCACTATCTTTATCATTTTTAGAGGACAAAAGCAACCCTTTTCAACTGTTATAAATCAATTTTTAATTTTAAAAGGAGATCAGACTTTTTATTTTTATGAAGGAGTCTTTAAAGAACCATCTCCCTCTCTTTTGGAAGCTGGCCAGCAGGCAAATTTGATACCTGCCTGTGTGACTGAGAGAAGGAGATGGCAAGTACACGAGCTGCTTCCCCCATTTGAGCAGTAAGTAGCCCAGGACAGTGTTTTTTCCAGCTGGATCTGCTAAGAGGGAATTCACTCACTGTAACTAACATTGTTACCAGTTTATAAGCATGCAAGAACTACCCAGTGAAAATGATCTTGATGCAACCCAAAAGCAATTCAGCTGCTGCATCACTGCTGGATTTGGTACAGAACACAAGAAATGAAACTCAAGTGTGAGTTTACTGTCTATAACAGGACAGACATGGTGCTCATTGTTTGTAGTCCCAGATGGCTTCCACTAAAAACAGTGGGTTACAGATGTCTACCTAACACCCTGACTTGTGGAACCACCACCTTAAATCTGGTTTGGAATAAATCCCTTTGGTTTTAATGTATGTTCCTACTCTTCCTTCTTTTGCAGCGATGTCTAGGCTTGCCCTGTTCCTCTTTTATTTTTGTTGATGCCTTAAGTTTTAGCTCTCACATTTTTCAGGTTCTGTACTGCATTAGTATATAACTCTGAAATTCATATAGAGTGTTAGAAAGTTCTCTTCACAGTTCAGTAAGGCAAAACAATCCTTTTCCAGCCCTCACAGCTCCAGCCCCCAAAAAGTATGAACAAAAGCAAACTGGGGGGAGCAAAACTGGGAGAATGTAATTTCATTACCTGAAGCTGTGATTGGACAATTAACCCCAATATGTAAATGGACCAAACTTATGAAAGTGTGAAAAACTCATGATCCATTGTCCACCTTGGGTGTATCCTCAGCCAGGCTCTTGTACTGCCCAAGGTGTATCTTTTGAAGGCCTTTTTAGTAAATACCTACTTGATTTCTCTTACTCTGTCTCGTTTCTGTCCTAGGTATCCTCTCCAGGCATCACTGTCAATAGCTTTCTCGTGAATGTTTTCTATACCAGCACCTATTAAACATTCATTCCAGCCTCTCCTTGAACCATCTTACCCCGTCTGTAGATAAGTACACCACTGAGATGGACTTGATGTGTCTATTACATTCAAATTTGAGCAATTCAGATGGCCTACAACACCCATCTTCATTTTTTATAGAGTATCTATCCACAGTGGATAGAAAGAGTTTCTGAACTCAGATCACCTACTAGAGATGCCTGAACATCCCCAGTGATGACCTAAGCCTGACAGCCCCAGGTAATAACATTATGTCTGGCAGTTTTGTTCTGGTGACTTAAACACCACAGTAAGTACCAAGGAGGGAGTAATATCTCCCTTCAAGTACTGTTCAGCATTTCTACACCCAGCTTTTAAGAACTTTGTCCATCCTCTGAATAACATCTAAAATACTGAGTTTGATGCTCAGGCTCTCAAGGCAAGGGATGGGGGAGGGGGGGGAATCAGGCTGTTAAAATGCCCAGAGGAGCTGTGCCCTGGGTGAGGAGCAGTTTCAGGGCTTACTCGCTGCTCAGAAATGCATCAGAAGTTTTTCTTCCCTAGAGACCAGGCTTTGGAGCACAAGCAGCAGCCAGGATCACAACACCCCATCAGAGGCAGACACCTCAAACCCAACTGCTATGCAGATTGTCTTTTCAAAGGCAGCCAGAGGAGAGGGCCCACACCCTCCTTTATGTAATAACCCAAAAGATTGCATTCCTTTCAGCAGCAGGACAGCTGCAAAGGGAGGTGTCTCCTGGGGTGCTCCCCCAAGGGCTGGGAGCCCAGGCATTTCTCCTGTACAGCCCAAGAGGTTGCTCAACCTGACCCTTCCACATCCCATAGACCACTTCAAACCTGTAGGAGATCATAAGTCAACTGAATCCTTCCTCCACATACAAAAAAATCAAAGCTGACATTTTCTTGCATATGGGGCCAAATCCTGTCAACGCATTTTAGCTCACATGCTGAATCAGGCCCCTGAGGGGATAGAGGTGCTGCTCCACCTACTTTCTGGATTTGGGAACAAGGCACCTAATCTATGCAGGCTTGGGCACTTCTGTGCATGCAGAGAACTGTCCCTGCCAGTGCCCAGGGCCTCTGAGGACAAAGAAGGAGATGTGTGATGAATTTTGGGTCCTTCCATATTTAGAAGATTGTTATGGTGGGGTTTTGATAACAGAGTTTTTTAATCTGGCAACAAAACTTCCATTCTCTGGGACTTACTAAGAAAAAGGCATAGGAAAAATTTTAAAGGCACACTGCCATCTACTTCAGGGCAGAATTCTCTGCCAATACTAGATTGGCCACACTCTAGAACATGCCGTTCATAGGTAGAATCCATCATCTCTTTTCTCCAATAGTCTCATTGGAATAAAAGCCTAAGGCTGTGATGGAATTTTTGTACCTGCAGTTCAGTGGCCTGAACTGTTATAAGGCTGATGCCATCCCCTTATGAAAGGCAGTAGAATCCTGCTCCACAAGCGGTGTCACAACAGTGCTACATTACTCACAGCAAAGAGGAGTGGTAGAGGTTGACATTTAATTAGCCATGAATTTAATAACAATGACAAAAGCTGTTTTAGTAAGTACTGTATAGAAATTAAGCTTGTAAAGGCATTGAGTAATTCTATCCTAACACCATTTTAAAGGCTAAGACAGATGGTAGCAGAATGTACAGTGCCCACTTTCACACCTTTCTGAAGTGATAACTATATGCTCATTTTGTAGACTCTGAACTGTAACTGCTTTCAGTGCAGTGGTACAACAAATCATCACAACAAAGGCAGATATTTAGCAGAGAACAAGGAGGGGGGAAAAAAAAGGCACCATTCTCAGTGTCTAACAGGTCATACCATTGGATGCCACAGTTCGAGCCTGATTTTGGAATGTTTTGGACCGAGTCCCGTATTGCCCTGAAAAATGGCTGGCCTGGGGTGATAACTCATTCCATGCTCCGCTCTGGGACGGATGAAGGCTCGCCTGGGACTCCGCAGGGGGATTCAGGCGCTGGGCCCAGGCTAAGTCTAAATCTTGGGGCTCCTCCTTCAGTTTTTCTCCTTCTTTGCCAACTCGTTGATAGATTCTTCCAGTGCTGTCATTCAGTAATCTTCTCATCCCTGTAATTTGTTTTTTAATTTCCCGGCTTTCATCTCCTAATGAAAACAGAGCCACAGTTATCACTGTAAATTAGCAAAAACAGTAATGGGTAGCAATTAGTGGTTTTAGATGCCAATAAGAGTTGGAGCAAATAAATAAATAAATAAATAACAACAAGAAAGAAAAGGGATGGCTGAATGGTGGTTGGGATGTACCAGGCTATGCCTTCACACAGCCATGGCTGACAGCTCTCATGCCTGAAAGACCTGCTGAACTTGGCTTTCCTGATGTTGTTTCTAAGGCTTTGATGAGTAAGATTATTTTTTTGCCAGAAGGAAATAATAATAGCTACAGCAATTTCAAATAAACTGTCCTTTTAAGAGACTGATCCTATTCAGGCATTGACATCAGTGGATATTTTCCCTGAGTAAAGCCCAAAGGATCAGAACCTTTATGTATCAGTTTGCTGTATGCTGAAGGACAGATCCTACAAAAAAAAAAAAAAAGCACAGAAAGCACCACACCACACACATGCAGAACAGTACTGCATCTATTGATTTTAATGAATAGGATTAGTTCCTTATTCCACAGAATTTAGTAATACTGGATTACAGAGGAATAAATTAAACAGTAGCTAATATGTGTGTAACTGCAGATAGCTGAATTGCTGGACGTCTTAAAAATGTAGATTCTAAAAATAAAATGAAAATATATACCAGAAAAATGTGACTGTGCCAAATAAATTCAGGTCATTTAAATAATAAAAGTTACATACTTAATATGTCTGGCACCATTTAAGTATTAATTTTACATATGAAACTGCTGATTGCACAATGAATAGATGTGTTTTGGGCAGATAGTAGCTGTTTTGCTTGTTAAAGCATACATTACACTTCATGAGTAATAAGGAAGTGTTCATTGCCTTTTCTGAAGAAAGAAGCTTCTGGTTTCCTTACTGGTAATAGAAAAATCAAATATCCTAGGTAAATGTCGTAAGTAAGATCTAGAAACTGATGAATCAACCTTCCTTTATAGAATACTTAATAAAATAATGCCTGGTATCCTCTACTCAATTTATATTCCTACTTCCCTAAATAAACCTATTTTTGGAAAAGCAACTGTACAAAGGAAACTTTAGAAGAAAAAAAAACCTATTCTCCAAAAGTCCAGGATGCAAGGTGTGCCGTCTCTGGTTCAACAAGGCACTTGAAAGTGTCCTAAATTTCTAGGCATGTGAACAATTTTATCAACTCAACAGCATCATTCAGTTGCCTAAACTTAGGTTCACATTTAGATAGCAGCTAAACCAGACAGCTAAAAGAACAGCAAACCCCCCCACCAACACAGGCCAAGCTCAGTGTGGCTGGGACTGCTGCAAGCCTGGTGTGCTGACCACCCAAAAAAGGGAGGTTCTGTTCTAGGAGCACAATAAGCAGAAGGGGAGAGGAGCTGAACAATGTGCTCCAACCTCTGCTGGATCCCAGCATCTCCTGCTTGACCTGGTGCACCGGTTCCCTGGGCTGGTGCCAGCTGGCTCCAGCCCACCCGATCCAGCGAGGAGAGTGGGCGGCTTGCAAGAAAGCTCCCAGTCCAAACTTAGAAAAATATTTGCCAACCCCGTACAGCAACACTCCAGCAGTATTTCCACTCCAGCTAACGCGGCGAGAAAAACCCTCTGCAAGGAAGTTCTGCACTGTATTTATTTATTTTGTTGGTTTGCCTGCAGATTCATGTGTGCGGGTGTCATTTCATTAACAGTAACAACATCAATTCCTTTAAAATGACACTTTTTGGCCCCAACCCAACCAGGGCTTGACTGTTTGCAGTTCCCAACCTTGAAAGGCTGCAGAGCAGCACTGGACTCCAGTTACTGAGATACTCACAGCCGTACTCTGCACGCTGCCTCTCTCCTGTACATGGCTGCACCTGTCCCTGTCCCAGCTCCAAACGTTCCCACCATGACACAGCCTGGAGCAATCCCTTGCTGTCGTGCCATTTAACATTATCCTGGGAGTTTTAAGTTGGTGATTTGGATTTGTACTCAATGGCAAAATGTATGTGAGTATCAGAACAGCTTCCCACCCACCTCCTCCTGCTGGGTGCAGGGACTGTGCTGCGTGTCTGGTCGGGTGACACGTTGTTAGAAAGATTAAATTTCCGTTACCCAATTACATAAAATATTAATGTTAATTGAGCTTATTCAGCCTTGATTCTGTTCCCTTGTTCCTTTCTATAGGAGTCTTCCTATACAGTGACATGAGCATACTTAGTTCCAGACAGAAAAAACCACTACATTTATGTTACAATAAACCCTGAACTTGCACCCTACATAAACTTATCTTTTTGATTAGATAGATCCTTACAGGGATATTCACCCTTTGTAAGCTTGTTTGTTGGGGTTCGGCTTTTCTTCTGGGATTTTTCTGTTTGTTTTTTGTTTTGTTTTTAAAATATGTTTTCCCTTTTGCAAGAAAGCACATTAAAAACCTACAGGCTATAAGCCTGACTTAGTCTTCAGTGCAAGTTTACATCTCTCCTCTTCCAGTCATGCCTTTTCCCAGCTTTTAGTTTGTAGCTGACCAGCAACAGCAGCATCCTCCCCACAGGAGTGGAGAGCAGATGATGTTACACCGTCTGAATCTGCAGACAGGTGCAACACCAGTCACAGATTTAACTTCTTGCTCCCTGGTTATCTCATTTGACTATTAGCTCTGGAGCCCAAGGACAGTGTTTTGTTATCAGTTATTCCACTGCTGATAATTTTCACAGATAATAACCATGTAATTTAAAAATGAAAAAAAATAGATGGGGCACAGAGAAAACACAACAACTCAAATTAGTATGTCCTGTGGAAGAGCCAGCCTTCTTTTAAATGCTAAATAGAATAATAAAGCACTGGAAAAAATAGTTTATTACATAGAAATCTGCATTATCTATCTGTGCAAAGCTTTCTAAAATAGATGCTGAGGCCTGAGAAGAGTGGTGCACACTTCAGCCTCTCTCTGTGCACATACCAGAGCTCCTCACCATTTCCAAGGAGATGGGGATGCCTCAAAGGCTGCCTACAGGATTTGCCATTTGGATACCCCATGTAAATCCCTGGGTTTTATCTGAAACCATTGAAGTTACTTGCAAAACACTAAGATACTCACAAAATGCTACTCAAATAGAACCATGGCAAGTTAGAGACCTATTTAGGAACCTGTATATAGAGAGATCAATTGTCATAACAAAAACATATTAACAATTTTTAATAATTACTGTTACAGTTGTTTCCACGATGGCCCCTTACAAACAACCTATTTTTTTCTTACTTGACCTGACTACAATCTTATAAAACAACAAGAAAAGAAGCAAAACGCAAAACAAAGCCCTTTAATAAATGCTACACATAAACAGTAATTTCCTCAAAATTAATTTCAATCTATTTCCTTACTGAAAGTGTACAGGACATAAAAACTTCCTGCTTCGAAAGATGCAAGAATGTTTAAAATTACAAAGGAACAAATGTAAACCAGAAAACTGTTCCAGGCTGCAGTAGCATCCACGTGCTAAGTGTGCAGCTGTCTCAAGCAACAGGCCTGTAAACAACTCCAGTTAACAACATATTAATGATAATTCATTTATTGCACTCTTCGCTCCTATGTGCTGTCCATCTTTTCACTACTATGTTTATTAAACTTAATATTTCACATTGCCTACCAACACCTTGTTGCATTTTCCTGAACAGTTTATCAAATATTATCATAGCACTGCAAGCAATTATAAAATTATATGTGACTGTATTGATATGTTCAATCATTAATTTTATCCCAGTATCACAGAGGTGGCAACCATGTCTGTATTAATGTGTATGTTTTAAAGTGTATAAATGGGTGAGCAGAATTAAAGTTGGACAAATGTCTGTATCTGATATCTCCTTCCTTCGACTCACAAAACCAAATAACCATTCGTGTTCTCTTTTCCAGTATTTTGCAATTCCTTCCTTCATTTTTAACATTTATGTTTCTCATATATTTTGAGAAATATTTACAAGATGACTTTGAAAATACAATTTTTCTATTCATTATTGTTTAATTTTATGGTTTTTGGAGAGATGAAACACCTATGGAATTTTTTCCTTTGTTGAACATACAAATAGGGATTTTTCCTGGATCAGGCTGCTTACTGAAGTTACTTTTATCTCAGATTTCCACCTTTGTGCCCAACTAGGCTGAAATTGGTGGAACTGTTGAGAGGGCAGGAATGGCAGTGACAGACAGCCAGACAAGCACATGTGAGCTGACAGCATGAGCCAGGTTTGTATGGAAACAAGGCTTCAGAGGTGAGAAGAAGTGGAAGTTGAAGCATATGGCGTGAAAGCTCAACAAAAAATAATAAATAAGTGCAAAGGGTTATATAATGAAGCATATTAAACTGCAATTTATTAGATGCCATTTGAATGCTGCCCTCTCTGGAAGGGGGCCAGCAAAACTCGCCTGCTGTGTTTGAGGACTGTAAAGGGCTGATTCAGCTCAAGGAATCAGGAAGCATGTGCACACAGGGCACACGTCCCCACTGCTCAACCAGGCTGAACTCACCAAAACACCTTCTGGAATGCTACACAGTGTTCAGGTATTTCCATCAGAAACAGTTATCCCAGAAGGAAGCTCAGCATCCCTTCTCAGCAAGAACTATACCCACATCAAATCATAATTTTCAAAAACCAACATATTTTTTGGTCACTTTGTACCACAAGTCATCCTGAAACAGAAAGTTGCAGAGGTCAGCATGTGGAAAACAGAGGATCCATGTGCATAATTCCTTATCAGAGCAAAGGTCTCCTAAATCACGTGGAATCTTACTGCAACTTTTCTGTGCATAATTGGAATTCGGCATCTATGTGACTAAACTGATGGGGTAAATACACATTTTCCAAAAAAGTGATCCCAGGTCTTTGCCAGCACACAAGATTCTACACTGAAGAAAGAACACAGGCAACAACATCCTTGACAAATTAAAAACCTAAACCCCAAGTCAACAGGGAGGGCAGTGGTCATGAATGGTGTCAGAGGGTCGACTTCTCTGTGCATAATTGGAATTGGGCATCCATGTAACTAAACTGAGGGGTAAACACACACTGCCCAAAAAAGTGATCCCAGGTCTTTGCCAGCACACAAGATTCTACACTGAAGAAAGAACACAGGCAACAACATCCTTGACAAATTAAAAACCTAAACCCCAAGTCAACAGGGAGGGCAGTGGTCATGAATGGTCAGAGGGTCACACAAGCAACACGAGTTACAGCTGGAGAATTTGACTCTGCTAAACTAACATGTGGGGACACTGAAGCTAAGTTGAGGCATCTTAGCAATGCTCTAAAACATCACCTTGAAGCACTGTCCTGTGTTCATGTCACCACACAAAGCACTAGAATTAGATATGCAGGAAAACTGGATCGCCCTCAAATCAGACCTCTTACTCACAAAGCACTGAAACAGATGGTTTGATAACCCTGCCTAACTATGAGACAAACAAAGTTATTAAACCCCACAAACACTAATGTAAGCAAGGAAATTTGCAGAATCAAAACCAGGATCAGACCCTGAGACCATGCAGGCTTTTGGGGTTACTTCCCTGGAAACTGGGTCATACCAGGTGGCCCAGCCACCACTCCCACCACAAACAAAGTAAATCTTTGGAAGAGCCTGGTGAAAGAGTTTCAAAACACCCAACAGGAGAAGCCACAGAAGCCCAAGTTACACACTTTCATGCCATGCTGTGTCAGCAAAATCACTTGGGAAAGGACAAGTGAGCAACTGTTCAATAAATGTATATATTAATGGGGTCATATAATTAAAAAAGTAATAATAGAGATGCATCAACTTCCCCCAGTCCTTGGAAATATCCCAGGCCAAGACCATGCCTTAGCCCCAAAGGGAAATACTTTACCAAGTTAGATCATTAGAGAACACAGATACATAAACTTTTATGCAGTCTTAATTACAGAAGCCACTATTGCAACAACCAGACTTGGGATATAATCCTATTAACAGTAACACAAGTCTGTGAAGTTACTTGTTAAGTCAACTTCTTCCCTGTGAATAAATTGCAAAGGATATAATTTCTGGGACAGAATAAATTCTTGAAATTAGTGAGTAACTTATGCATTGCTCCCCTGCTCCAAGAACACATTATTTATTTTTACCATGACACAGAGAAGTTATTAATCTGCTGCCTCCCATTTCAACAATGCGAAATGCTGTAAAATGCACAGACACCTGCATTACAGTACATTTCAGTTCCCCTTTATATCAGTCATAAACATCTCTGTTTTGGACATCTCTTCAAAACAAATGCTCCAAGCACACTGTGCGTAGCATGCAATTTTATGAAACTATAAAAGTTCTTCACTGTTAATTACACAGACAAATGTCTCATCACACATTTGATTACCAGGATAATATAATTAGTTTTCTGCATTAACCTTTCAAACACAGAGCCTGAATTTCAAGTTGAAAGGATTGTAAAAACACTCAGTCTGGAAGTATATTGTATTTCTACTTTTTTGTGTTGGTAATAAAAATATTAAGACTAAAAAAAACCTATATGGTGTATACAAAAGATTTTTTTTTTAAATAGACAGTGTAAGTTTAATCATGACTGTCCACAAGGTGTACATAGTCCCTTCAAGAGCTTGTAATATCAAGTCTGGGCTAGCAGCCCTGTGACTTTACTGGAAAAACAGAAGTCAGATCTGTTTTAAATTTCACCCATGTTTGAGGTTTAAGCATTTCACTCTGGGCTGCCTCCTCCTTCTCAGGCTGAGCAGTCTGTCCTGGTACCAGATAACTAAGCCCTTTCCTTCAAAACAAAAGACATGCCAGTCCTCATCCACAAAATATAGCAGTGATATTCCACATTCCCCTGGAATTTTGTAAAGACTGTGGTTAGCATGTCCTTCATCTACAAAGATGTGACTTCTTGTTCATCATCTTATCAGAACAAAGGACTGGGGGAGAGGACAAGCCACCACATCCCCACTCCCAACACTGCACTACATGAGAAAACTTCCCAAGCTCTATTCAGATAGCAGTTGGACTCTACACCATCAGAGGTCATATCCAGTACCATGTTCCTTTAATTGCACTCAAGCTTTCTCCAGTTTTCAGCCTACATTTACACAAAGCTGTATTGTGCCCATCTATGCTGCTGCAAAAAAGACCATCTAGGTTCATCGGGTCTTTCTTGATGTCTCATCTTTATTTTATCTGTATTTTAAACAAACTGGATTCTTCTGATTTACTCATTTATCCTAGCAGCTCCCCTCTTCTCAACAGCGGTTTTGAGCAAACCATGCTCAGCTGTGCAACAAAGGCATTTCCACATCCCATTCATCCTAAAGCTTCACTCATTTATAGACTGCCACTAACATTTTACCTTCCCTAAAGGTAATAGTTTCAATGCTGTATCATAGCATCCATTCCATACTAAAGGCTGCATTCATGCTGAGGTTTCAACTGCTGATCCCATGAATCACTTAAACTGGAGAACAAACTTGACTCTAATTCACCAAGTTGGAATAAACATCCTTCAGAGATACATTTTGGCATAAAGCAGTGAAATCAAGTGAAGCAGTGATTATACCCTGACTACACCTGATAAGGAAGATCCTTGATAGGATTCACATTCTTAAAGGTTAAATTCTGACTGACTCTGAAATAGGTGAACTTGAGGCACTTAAATGCCAGAACACTTTCAGTCACAATGAAAAGCTGGACTTACTAAAAAAGGAAAACCCAAACAAATCTAAGGACAGCACAACCAAGCCAAAATCAAGATCAGTGGGTCTGACTCGCACAGACTTCTGCACATCCTTGGAGCACCTGGCTGATGCCTAATTCTTGCCAAAGCTTCAAAATCAAGATCGGTGGGTCTGACTCGCAGCACAAATGTCAGAGCACAGACTTCTGCACATCCTTGGAGCACCTGGCTGATGCCTAATTCTTGCCAAAGCTTTTCATGACTCAGAGTTGGAAGAAAAAGCATTTCAAGTAAACCTGTGGTGGAGCTCACTCCATCAGGTTTATCAGACTTCACCAAAAGTGCTTACAGAAAATGAAATCCAAACACAAAGCACAGCAGTGGCCTTTGCTTCTCCCTGGAAATGGGTGTAAGGAAGAAATGCTTGCTCAAATGGTGAAAAGCTGAGAAGGCAGCTCCCACTCCTGTTTTAACACATCCTCCTATTCTCTCTCATTTGCTTCTGACCTCTAGAAGAGGATGTGGCACTATGAATTTATAGGAGACAAAGGCATTTTGCATGCAGAGTAACTTCAGGTGCCAATTCCCACATTTCAATGCTACTTGCTGGCTCCAGGGGGCAACACACACAGGCTACAGAAACCTTAAATCACCCCACAAAAATGTTTTGGCTCCTGGTGCTGGAAAGGAGAGGCAGACATTCCCAAGTTTCTTGGTGCAAAGGCATCTGCTTTCTCCAAAGCCTGAACAAAGTGCTCACAGCTCAAAAAACTGGTCCCTCCTTCTTTGAATTTAGCCTGCCAAATCTTTACCAAGAGGGGCTTTATCCAGGTGAGGTCCTGGATGCAACTGGAAGGGGACAGAAGCAGGAAAGGAAGAAGCACTCTGCAGCTGAGGAGTTATACAGGATAAAAAGCACACAAGAAAGGTAAAGGTTCACTGATAGCCAGGCTCTGATATGCTGTAATACATATCATGCTGCAGACTCTATATTACTTCTGTATTTTCTTTACACATTTTCAACTGTTGATTTAATTTAATTTTGCCATGCCAGGATTAGCAGGCAAGCTCCAGAGGTGAAAGGACATTACATTAAGACAGCACATTAATCCTCTATCCCACCCAAGGCAGAAGCAAAACCAAACAAATAGCAGCTTCCTGGAAATTGAATTTCTGTTATCCAGATGTCAAAGATGTAATACCCCAATTACACAAACTATTGCCAGTGAAGCATGCCAGGGAATATGCAATGTAAATGGGGTGAGCACAGAGCTGCAAAACTGCAGAGTCAGCATCTGGCTCTCTGAGTGAGTGATAATTAGCACTGTGTGTAGACACTAATAAACATTTATGTCTGAAATTACAACTTTTAGCAGTGTTAATAAAGGATATATTGGCAATTCACAGAATAAAAGGGTCTTGAAAAGAACGTCATATTAAACAATGGCAGGCGCTTTCTGTGCTTGCACAGAGGTTTTTTCCTCCCTAATTGCAAATGGCCATGCAATGTTGCTCGAAAATTAATCAACACAAGCACATACCTAAAAAAACTGGTTGTGTTTCTTTGGTCTCCCCATTAACATCATTGCTGTAGTCAGAGATCTTATATATCTCATGATGGTAATCTGGAATGAAAAACGATAAAAAAAATTAGAATTCAAGTGATCTGGAAAAAATGAACACTGAACACATAGCTACAGTTTTACTACACAATTTATCAATATATCTGCAGTTTATTTCATGTACATCAAATTAACCACAGAAAATGTGCTCTGTATCAACACCTCCTAAAAAACCTTTGCTCACACTGGAGAGACTCAGCTCAAATATTTCACAGATTTCAGGGAATAGCTACGCCTGCCCTAAATTACTGTGTTCATTTTCACAGCAAATTATCCCACCAGATGCCAATTATCTGGCTTCTTGCTTTACAGAAGGAAAGCAGATTTATAATGAAAACTTTACCTTCCCAGAAACCAAGGCAAACTTTCAAACTTCACCTCAGTAAGGAATCAGCAATGTACATCAGGGCTGCACTGCTCAGCTGGCTTGACTCATACTGATGTCACTGGCCTCCCAATTCTGAAGGAAGGAGGATCAGTGGGTACTTTAGGATATTCACCTATAGAAATAATTAATGCCTCTGATGACCTGAAGAATTAGCACTGGCATCTCATATACAGAGATGTTATAAGATATTAAAAAAGATGTCACTGGCCTCCCAACTCTGAAGAAAGGAGGATCAGTGGATACCTTAGGATATTCACCTATAGAAATAATTAATGCCTCTGATGACCTGAAGAATTAGCACTGGCATCTCATATACAGAGATGTTATAAGATATTAAAAAAAAAATCACCACTGAGTTTCTATTTTAAATAGAAGTATATTTTGCTGTCAAGGTCTCTGTTGTAACACCAGGCAGGTGTTCACTAAAACCAGAGCTTTGTTTACACAGAGATAAATAGTAAATCCAAGTAAAAAAAGAAGTATCTAAAGGCAGCTCTCCTGGATGCTATTTCTGACTCTGATATTGGCACACACTCTGTCCTTCAGTAAACCACTCAAGACTGAACAATATATTCAGTGTCTTGAAAGAGCCACCTCCCCACCTCACTCCTTCCATGCCCTCCCAGTTCCCAACGCTCTCAGCTACTCCCTCCTTAAACTGGTTTTATGTTTACTTGCCTCACAAAAAGTGAGGCAGAGATTAACTCATGGAAGGGACTTTGGGAGGATTCACTTAAAAGGTGTAACACAAGTGGAGGGTGGCATAAGCAGCTCCTGCCAAAGCAGCACACCTGCACCTCTGACCAAACAGGCACAGGACTGGAAAAGTCTCCTGGAAGTAATTTTTTTGTTAGGTGCTGTTTATTTGTACAGCAGAATGTCTCTAAGGCACAAGAGAAGGAACAACCCAGTATGTAAACTAAAATTGAGCCTAACACAGCAATTCTAGAGAATGAGAAGGGCCTGGAAAGAAAATGAGGGGGAAACAACCACACCACAGAACTGGAGAGGTCAGCGATGAGGCGCTGCACAAAGGATTCCTCTGCTTCCCGCGTTCCTGAGCACGCCCAGCCAACAAAATGGGTAAAGGTGAAGCCTGAGATATGCCACTGAGGAAGCAAAAACTTCTTTTATGAGACTAAACTGGCAGGATTTATGCTGCCTTCCATGGTCACTAGCTGTCCTGTTGAGCAGAGGGTGTGATGAAGTGGCTTGGTGGGCACCTAATGGCCAGCCAGTCGGGGTCTACCTGCCACACTCTGCACCTCCATCCTCCCAAGGACATCCAAGATCTGTGGAAGCAAGTAAGTGGAAACTAGGACTTAAATGACTTACAGACTCATGGTCCTCAGATATACAGATTACACCCAGTTTCTTCTCTAGCACTTCCCTGTACACCCAGGTGGTCACAATATTCTTCTGGTCTGCAGCTGCTGCCTTAAAGTCACCACATTTCACCCCAGAAGTGGCTGCACTTTAGCACAGCAATGGACTTTCTCTTGATTTGGTCATTATTGATCATTGTGATAAGGTGATCAAAGTAATTTTTGGGACAGAATAAGCATTGTATGGGCACATATCAATAGCAGACTGATAATCAATTCATACAGCATAGCCTTTTCTCTTTGGTTTCCTATTTCTGCCTTGGATGTCACAGTCCAGGCACTGGAAAACTGTATCAATTTCACAACAGTAAACACTAAACTGTGACATTACAGAATAACTCCTGCAAGAGGCAAAGGCCAATTACAAGAGACAACTATTTATACATAATTATCTTTCTAATCAACTGCGATAGAAAAGAGTATCAGAGTGCAGACTCACATACAAAACCTGATTTTTATCTCCTCCATTCTCAAAGTAAAAAGACATAATTTTCTCTCTAGCATATGCTTTTACTGTAGCTTTGTATTTGACTCTCTACATCCAAAAAGAGACCACAGATAAAATATTATTAATAATGTACCATCATAACTGGATTTACCTATTCTTCTGGTCTGCAGCTGCTGCCTTAAAGTCACCACATTTCACCCCAGAAGTGGCTGCACTTTAGCACAGCAATGGACTTTCTCTTGATTTGGTCATTATTGATCATTGTGATAAGGGGATCAAAGTAATTTTTGGGACAGAATAAGCATTGTATGGGCACATATCAATAGCAGACTGATAATCAATTCATACAGCATAGCCTTTTCTCTTTGGTTTCCTATTTCTGCCTTGGATGTCACAGTCCAGGCACTGGAAAACTGTATCAATTTCACAACAGTAAACACTAAACTGTGACATTACAGAATAACTCCTGCAAGAGGCAAAGGCCAATTACAAGAGACAACTATTTGTACATAATTATCTTTCTAATCAACTGTGATAGAAAAGAGTATCAGAGTGCAGACTCACATACAAAACCTGATTTTTATCTCCTCCATTCTCAAAGTAAAAAGACATAATTTTCTCTGTAGCATATGCTTTTAGTGTAGCTTTGTATTTGACTCTCTAAATTCAAAAAGAGACCACAGATAAAATATTATTAATAATGTACCATCATAACTGGATTTACCTATTACAATAAGGTTAAATAGATTGTCTCATACACTGAGGCATATCTAAACCTGTAAGAAGTGGCAACTGGGATTTGGCAAAATACTTATTTCTGGAAAATACTCTTTTTACAGGCCCATTAATATGGAAAGAAAAAAAGAAAAATTTCAGTTTTGTTCTTCCACGTTTTGCTTTCACCACCTCCACGCTCCAGCCCAGTCATGCACTAACTCTGCCTCCAAGTTGGGAGCATGTTCAGTACCAAAACCCCACAAACCAAACCTGTTCTCTGTAAAATTACAACCTTGGTAGTTTGCTAATGGATACAGACCTCCAGTGCATTTCAGACACGTCTGGCAAGTCCCTGCCCCTCTAGTTTTAACAGGGACCATGTGTGATGCCCCAGACCCCCCCACCACCATACAGAAGTCATTATTTACAATTCCCACCAAGTGAGCCTATTTGCATCTTTGAATTTCCTTGCTTCAAACGTAATTTTGCAGAGCACTCCTCAGACAGCACTCGTGTGTGTGTCCCCCTTTTCACCAGCGTGACATTACACCCCAGCAGTCACCTGCCTTGAACTTGGCATGCAGGACACACACAGCGTTTCATGGAGATATTCCCGTCCAATACTTGGGAACACAAAAGGAGAAACGATCTCGAATCAAATCCATCAGGGCAAAAACAGCTCACGGGTGGGAGAAGGGATAAATCCCCAACCAAAATAAATCCCTAGGGCTGGGAAGTCCACCTGTGAAAACGCCTACCAGCGGCTCTATCTTTTTTCCCCTTTAATTAAAGAAAACAACAAGAAGAAGACTGAAACACAGAGCTGTGCTTCTTGTCCGACATGAATTCAGATATTTCTCCCCTCACGATCCCTTTTAAAATATCCTCTTTTCCAAAAGCAAACACACCCCGAGCGAACAAGTTACACGCCAGCGGCTCTCCCCTGCCCACGTACAATTAATTACCTGCGTGGATTTTTAATAAAGCGATCTCGATTCAGCTTTTCTTTGAAATACACGGATGTACACAGCCAAGGAGAGGAAAAAAGCCACCCCAAATACAATAAATCCACAAGAGTTGAATACTAAGGAGGTCTGTCGCGGCTCAAGTGTCATTATTTTTTGCTCTCTTCCCGATTTTATCTTTTCTCCCCCCCGCCCAAGCAGGATTCACCACGAAACACGATCCAACTTTATTTTGTGCAAGGTCTGCTTGGAAAAAAATAACACGTCCACCTGAGGTGGTGGGGGGGAGGTCTGAGGTGGTGGTTTTGCAACAACACGTAACACACATGCAAAAAAATAATAATAATTAAAAAAAAAAAAGAGAGAGGAAACGGGAAGGGGGTGAAAGAATTAAAAAAAAAAGAAAAAAAAAAGGCGTGCAATGGTTTCGGGGAGTTGAGGCAGAGGATTGCGGAGTTGAATAACAGAGCCGGGAGGGAGCGGCGGCCCGGGGGCGCCGGCGTTTCATAACGCCCCGCTCCCCCCGGGGCAAAAGTCGGGGCTGCCCCCGGCCGGCGAACAAAGCCCGGCCGCCCCCGCCTTACCTTCGTTGACCAGTTTAAAGCTTTGGGATTTCCTGCTCCTCTTCCTCTGGGCGAACTCCATGGTGCGGGCAGGAAGGAGCGGGGCGGACACAGGACCGAGCTCCGTCCCTCCGATCAGCAATGCACGCGGGGGTTGGGAGAGACGGCGGCTCCGGCGGCGAATAAAGGGATCCGGGACAAGTTGGCTCCGGTCTCCCCCCCGCTCCCGCCCCGAACTTTGAGGAAAAGCGGGGTGCGGCGGGGGGAGCCCCGCGGGGGCGATGCCGCCGCCTTCCCCCCCGCCGGCTGCGCGGCCGCGGCCCGGCGGCGAAGGGCGGCCCGCAATGGCTTCGCCGGCCGGGAGCCGCCGCCACCCCGGGGCCGGCCCGCCGCCACTCGGCCCCGCCGCGGGCTGAGGGCGAGGGGCTGAGGGGCAGCGCCATTTTGTGTCCCCCTCCCGCCGCGCTCCTCGCACACGGGCACCGGCGCTGCCCGCTCGGCACCGCGGTGCTGCCCGCGGCTCCCCTCAGGGGCTGAGCGGGGGGAACTCCTCGTGTTTAGCGGGACCGGGCCAGGGCCGGCGGGGAGGGGGTTGAAGTTGGCGTGCGGAAGCGGGTAAACCTCAGGAACTGATGGCAACACCTGTTTGTTGCCGTGTTTTACAGGGATTATCGCGGCGATGCGTCCGCTGGTGCCATGGACCGAGGCCTGGAGAAGAGCGCCGAGCCGCCAGCTGGGCTGAGCTCTGCCAAACCTGGATCGCCTTAGCAGGAGGAAGGGAGTCCCTCGGCCAGAAACTGGATCGCCTTAGCAAGAGGAAGACAGTCTCGGCTCTCCAGAGGAGCGAGATTTAGGGCGTCTGGCAGCCCTCCCGACGGTCACCGTGAGGTCACTGCAGCCATACGGCTGGCCCAAACACAGCTGAAATTAGTGCTTTGATTTATTCACCACTTGACGCCTTCAGCCACACTTCCAGTTTGCTCACTGTGCTAAATTCACTGAGGGTGGAGTGGTTTTTTTTTACAGCCGAGAGTGCTTTTGCCTGTTGCCTGTAGAGAAAGGACCCAGGCGTTTACAGTTATGACTAGTGATAACTGCAAACACAGCTCCGATCTTCATCTTGTGTTTTACATGTAGTCAGACTGTGTTGTGACAAGGAGAAGACTGTGTGATACTTGCATACGCCTACTTGAACAGATGCAAATGCAGATCTTGCATTGGTCTCCTCAGAGTACCCAGGAGAATCCCGTTAGCTCCAGTAATATTGACCAACCCTATCACTCGGAATAATGATATAAAATGAGCAGGAGGGTAGCAAATTGAATACTAACAGTAGTGATTTGTATCCTAACTGTGTGCATGGACGTAGTCTGACCTGAATTCTTCAGTGCAAGGTGCCATCCAGACACCACACAGAGGGTATACATGGTTCTGAAAAGAAAAATTGGGAAATAGCCTTAATGGTGAAGCAATATCAGAAAATATGCCTAATGGTAAAATTTATTATATGCTGGAAAATTAAATTCACGAGGGAGGTTATGGAAACCTCACAGATTGGGTAGGGGTGTAATTTTCTATTAAATTGCTAAGTGGAAAATCCCAGAGGCAATCAGTATGCTACTTTTGGAATTTTCCTAAACTTCTCTGCAAGACTTTATGAAAGGAAACTGGGCTAACGTACTATTTAAAATCCTGCATTATATATTTTTGGGAGGATGCTGAAGCAGCAAAGGTAGATGGATGTCATATGCTGTTTGCTGGATTTTGTGGGTCCAATTAATCTCTGGTACAGTGCAATGAAGTCGGATCTGAAATGCAGCAGCAGTGTGCCTAAATTTTTCCTAAAAAAAGAGCATTTTCTCCTTCCCCCGCCCCTCCCCAAACAGTGCTGATTCCTGTCTGCTAACTAACTTTATTTACAGGACTTACATGCTGAAACTGTTGTGTTTGCTCTCATCCTTCCTGGGACAATAGGAGAATTTTTATAAAGCATAAGGCCCTCATTTACAGTTCAGCTCACATGATGAGCGTTATCCTGCATTTGCCAAAGGAATGTGCTACAAAATTTTTTTCTGTTTTTCTCTGTTTCTCAATTTTGTGAAATATTCTGGGGTATAATTTATGAAAATATGATGGCAATGTTTTATCAGCTGCTCTCTTACTGGTTTTAGTTCTTCCTTCCCTGTGCTGATATTTTGCTTAAAGGGGCACCCGTGGTTTTAAATGATATTTCAGTCTGGGCAATGAAGTTTCCAGTAACGTTTTCCAACAGTTAGCACATCCCTTTTCCACTGATATTTCTCATTTTCCTTTTTGTGAGTTAGAGAGATCCATCCTTTTCATGCAGAGTAAGCCTGATGCTGCAAGCTAGCCTAATTGTGGTCGCTCAGATGAATAAATCTTTGCAGCTTTCATTTCTGAAAGTACGAGCCAGTGTGGATACCACAGCCCCGATCCTGCCATCTCATCTGCATAAAAGTGAATTAGAAACTAGGACAAGGTGACTTTAGGTCAAAGTTTTGTAGTTATCCACACAACACGTAGGAGGATCCGCTAGCTGGAAGGAGCTTTCTGTCCTGCCCTGCTGGTGCTGTCTCAGTGGGACTTAGAAAAAGCTACACAAACTCAAAGGCTCCCATGTACAGGGAGCTGTGAGCCTGTTTCTGGGCATTTTGGGGTGGGCATCCTAAAACTGGAGTGGGATCATCTGCTCGTTTGTCACAAGCCACCATTGCATTATTCCAGCTGGAGAAATGGAGAGATGAAAGTCCTCTTTATCCCGTTAGAATGGCTGCCTTGTGTCACCCTGGGTAGTCACAGGCTGCATCGCTGTGGCAGCCAAGTGACTTGGGATAAAGTGCACACTGGCTCTGGGGAGCAGACAGCTTTTAATTTCATCTTTTATTTCAGTTTCTGTCTCGGTATCATGTTGTTATATATTAAGAACCCATAGGTCATTTTTTTTCTTCTGGGGAGCAGACAGTTTTTAATTTCATCTTTTATTTCAGTCTCGGTATCATGTTGTTATATATTAAGAACCCATAGGTCATTTTTTTTCTGGTGAAAATATGAAAAATTCTGAGCATTTTGTATCTATTCATGAAAAGTTTCAAAGTATTTCCTCAAACCATTAACTGAGTAATGTGTTTTTCAAAATGCCATGAAATTAGCCAGCTAAATAAGGGCTTTGTCTTGCAACATGTCCCAAGTCAGTATGATCATCCCTGATGATTCTTAGTTAACATTTTATTAGGCTTCAAGTTACTTTCAAATATCCCCTCCCCATTCTAACTGATAGTAATTTTCCCAACAATTTTCTGGTGTACTTTTTCACTTCAGATAATGAACTAATTGATTAAATATAATTAATCTAGTGATATTTCAGTATTAACAGCAGCAGTGCTCTTCACACAGGATGTCCCAGACTTTTTGTTTCTAGGTGTGTCCAGTTATTGATAATATTTTCTTATTCAGAAGTAGGATGGTAGAGGACAAAGATGACTAAAGAGTCCTAGAGCTGAGGAGAATTAAATAAGTGTACTAAGAACCACTTCAGCTTTTCAGTTGGAAAAATTATAGTGGAGAAAGTCTCCTAAACTCAGTGATTCGATCTGAGGCCTAAAGTCTAATGTCAAGGAATTCATGTGAGGCCGTGTGAAGTGGGCAGAGGCTGCTGACTGTCACATTAATGACACCATGATCACCACTCATCCTGCAGCCCGAGGTTCCGTGTGGTATTAGGAAGCAGGAGAAGGGTGAAGAGGTAAATTGGAGAGCAGGAGCTGCACAGGTGACAGGTTAATAGGTGAGCTATTTTGGTTAGTTATGTGTAATGAACGGCACTGAGGATTTTATAAACTGTAGGTAGTGTTTCCAGGGGTGGTTTTGAGCTCATGTGACACATGTGGGCAGTACTTAGCTGACAATGGGCCACGTTGTGCTCTGCTGTCTCACTACAAACCTTCCCTTTCAGCAGGCTCTCAGGCTGGCATATCCCAGGACTGGGTCATTAGAGAGGAAGGTTTCTGGATGTCCTGAAGAATTCTGAACTCAGGAGTGCAGTTTAACTTGTTTCCCAATCCTCCTTAAGTTTTTCCTGACCATTTGAGTCACAGTATTGACATTTCATGTCTCTGTCCTTACTCTTTCTTTTGGAACACAGCTTCCAAATGCTTTCTTGTCCATCCTGCTGCTTGTTAATCTTTCCCATATAAATTTTAAAGAAAAAAACTACAGGACAGACCAGTATTTTCATCTGTTTTCCAGCTCAGAGAGACCAAAACATTCCAGAACTGTTTCAACAATAAAGAATATATCTGAATCTGTGTACAAAGTGTTCTTTGTGTGTGCAGTCACAAACCTTCTGAATATTTCCATATCAGAACGCAAACCTTCTAAACATTCCCATATCAGAATGCAAACCCCCTTTTGACTGTAAGGTTGGACTTTCCCCCCCTCTTTGTGAATTTATGTACAGCTTGGACTAAGATTGCAAGAGGAAGGGCACTGCATTCTAAGAGTCAACGCTTGATGGTCATCCTCTCTGATCCAATACTTGTGGGATAATTGGATATTAAGTCATCCCTAGGACAAACCAGTGTTTGGATCTGAATTCTGGAAATGGAGAGGAGACCAAGGTGTCTAAGCAACAGATGTGGTTGAAGGATGAAGAAGAAAAGATCTCAACAATGCTCTTTTTATGAAAGAGGATGTGGAAGAGTAAAAGACATCTGTCCATATACATGGACGTTTTCTGCTTCTCTGCAAGAGGGAGAAACCATGGGCTGAACTAATTTTGCCCTTACAACCCAAGTGCTTCAAGGCAGCTGAGGACAATGTGAGTAGGGCTTGTTATTTTGCTAAAAATTTGAACTTTCCTGCTATATAGAGTAATAGTGCTTAGAAATTTTAGTCTGGATGTGTCTTTACATCACTACGACCTCTGCCTAAGAGATGAAATACAAAGCCAGGCTGATGTCCTCAGAAAGGACACGTTTGAGCTTTGGATTCTCCCAGAGCCAGTGTCAGTAATGCCAGGCCAAGCACAGCAGTCAGCAGTCCCCGTTCTGGTGGATGCTGCAGGCACAAATTGCAGCCAGCTCAGCTCAGGGTCCAGCAGCCCAGCGAGCCCCCTGCTAGGAGAGTTCCAAGAG